AGAGAGAGAGAGCTGAAACTTATGAGAACACTCACATACGGGCGAACGGTGAGACCAGGTTCCGTTCTCGGTACATATGATGGATGCTTCCCCTATCAATTGGTGACCTGGTAAACAAGCAAATCTTACGAGAACGCCGACTTTGTATATTCGATCGCGATGCTGTTTCTTGTTGGAATATCGTATTTCTTCGATGATACGCCCGCTTTGTGGTGTTTCCGGCATAGGGCAAGTAATTTCTGTAATCATTATCCTTGATTGACATAATTTTTGGCGAGATTTTATGAGGTATATTTAGAATAAGTAAATTAAAAGTAATTAAATTTACAAAATTTGTCAAGGCTTATTAGTATTTTTATAAATATTCTAAAAAGATGTGACATGAGTTGGAAAAGTTTTAATCTAAAAAGGATATTTGAATTAACAATTTAAATCTGTCGAATTTTTTAATCAAAAAGAGAATTTTAAAAAATTTAGAAAAATGTATCGAAAGAAATGGTTGTTCGAAAATAGAATTGATTTAAAGTCTTCAAGTAATCGTTTTACCCAAACAAGTTGGCATAGATCCATTCCACCTGCCGTCTCCCTCACATGTTATACTTTGCGAGCCCGAAAGTTTATGTCCCCACATACAAGTAAAGACAGCTCTACCGCCATAAGTGTTATTGTGTTCAATCAATTGCAGGAGAGCATTATCCGGAATGTCCATCGGTGGACATTCGATTTCCTCGCAACGTGACACATCCGCCGACCACTTTCCTGCAAAAACTATATATATATATATATATATATATATATAAATTATAATCTTTCTTTCACATACATTTTTAGATAGATAAATGCAGATAATTTCTTTGATAACATCAAATGCAAAAGATACATTTGTCCTAATTTTATATTCATGTTCACCAGAAACAAGCATTGCTTTCTACCATTGTATTGGCATGTGATACCGGAAGCACCGTCTAATCTGTATCCTACTGGACACTCAAAAGTGGCACTTTGTCCCATTCGGCTGCCTTCGATGTGACTGATTAATGGCGGTTCAGGAACGCTCAATACCGAGCACTGAACATCTGCAAAATGACAAAATTGAAAAGACGAAGAAGACACTTGAAGCAGGACAATTGTTTGTAACGAAAACACAGCTCTCGTCCACGATATAAAACTTTCAGGAGAAGAAGCAGTTTGTTAGTTTTTTTTATTTGCAACTCAAAATACTAGAATACAATAAAGAGAGTTATTGATTTATTATTTTTTTAAATCAAGGGAGCCTAGTGTGGTGTATAGTCATTACCTGTGACACGAACTCGTATTGAATTATTCAGTCCCTTGGGGGTGGAACACGTGTATATTCCAGAATCCTGGGATTTAGCGTAGTATATTGATAGACGATACTTCCAGTCTCTTTCACGCGCAGAAATTGCCCATCCTTGAATGAATATACAAATAAAATAAATAAATGTAAGTATATGTACGGAAAAGTTTAAAAAGTAATATAACTCGAGCAGCGTAAAAATGAATTTGATAATCAATAACATGAAAATTCCAAGTTTTAAGCTCCTAAGATTTGCACAGTTTTTGATTTTCACCCGTCAGATATCGACGGAGAGTTGATGTCCATGTCCATTCGGGATTGCCGAGCTTTCTCGCGAAAAGGCATTCCAGGTGCAGGATGCTTCCCGGATAAACGGCAAGCGCTCCGGTGGGTTCTACGGCGGCCGAACCCGTCGGTAAGCCGAAGAGAATAGTTGGTGGTACGTCTTCTGTTTATCCTCGAACAGCACGAGGATCGAAATCGAGAACAATTTTTGGTGACATTATATATAACACAAAAATCCACGAAACATAAGAATAACATTTTTTTCTTTAAATTATAATTTTCAGAACAACTGGAGTGTCGGTTGTGGATGTCTTTGCAGTGTCTCCTGAACAATTTGTGTTGTGTGATTCATAAATGCGGTGAAAATGATAAAGCATCGCGATATACCGGTGTAATTGGAGATGTCCGTGGTAGGCACGCAATGAGGTGTCTTTCCATTCCACATGCCATTACGGCAGTGTAATAAAGAGTCGCCGATGAGTTTATATTTACCCAACTCTCGACATCTTACTGTAACTCGTTCATTGTGAGGTACAGTGATTTTGTCTACCTGTAATAAAGTATTTAAAGTACATAAAATATAAATATATAAAATTTAAATGTTATTTCAATTAAGAGAAGTTTTGTTCTTCAGATCACACAAAACTCTTAATATGAAGCTATATATTATTTTATTTGTGTTAAAATTCGCTTCTGATAAAATTCTCTACAAAATTTTTTGCTAAATTGCCAAATTTATCGAGGTTTAGGAGTTTAGGAGATTAATGATTTGGCTATTACAGAAAAAAGAGCGGCGTACTCACAGATATAGTGATCTCTTTATAAGTAACGATGAGGAGGGGGTGAAGGCCTTCTAATTTGCATCCTTGCTGCAAACTCTCGGTAGTATCTGCAAGTACACATGAATATTAGGAAAATTTGAAACTGTGCCTCTTAATCCGCGCACGCTCACGCACACCCTTGCAACAGCACATCCGAAGATCGATCACGTTTCACAGCGGCTTGCGCGATGAACGCGGAAACAGAAATCGATAAGACTCGATCGCGTGGCACACAGTGAGCCCGGTTTATCATTTCGTCCATACGCGGCTTAAGCAAAGGATAGCACGTGCTTCTTCTCAATTGACACTCAAAAATGTGTTGCGAATTGAGGGTAACGTAAGTTTTAAATATGGATAGGACATCAAAAATAATGAAATTAAAATAAATTATAAAAATTTATATTTGTGAAACTTTAATTTATAAAACTAAAGTTATTTTTATACTTTTTTTACATGTCGAGGATAGAAAGAGATTTACTTTAACATATCATAGTATGGCATTTGAAATAAATTCTGACAAGAGACGTAATTATTATTTTTCTAGAAGAAAATAATTATATATGTATAAATCGATTTATGCTGAAATGTATTTATTTGCTCAAGAAGCAGTAATGAATCTTTTAACACAACTCTTAGTCAATATGCTACACTTGTTCGAAACACTTCTATAGAGCGCCACATACATATTTCTCGACTTTTACTTTCATCCGTTAATTAATTTTTTAAAATTAATTCTTTTCTGTATTCCTTTGGAATGCCAAATTGGAACTAGAAGACTCAAATCAAAATACCCTGTGAATATTGTGCGGAAACCATAATGCACGCACCTATGCACTTGATATTCAGCGTGAGCAGAAGCAACGTCGTGGTCGCTATCGTCGCGACACGTGTACACATCCGCCGCGTCCTTCCTGAGTAGTCGTTGCTCGGCATGTTGCTCGTCCAGGCAAATCCAAGTCACGCAGAACCATGGTTAATGATGACGATGGATGTTAATGGGCAGTGTGGCAGTCAGGCGGACACATAATCGCATCTCGCCGATCAGCTGCGGTTTCTGTCTTGCGATCTCGTTCATTGTCTCAGCAGAAAAAGAAAAAAAAATACTCTCGTCGCACAATTATATCCGGAATTTGCAATCAGAAGCGGGAGGAAACGACGACACACTAGCAACAACGTCGATACTAAACATCCATAATCGGCGGGGGTGGCCCGAGAGACTCGCTATTCCGAAGGATGCGCATGCGGCCACCCTCCTTCTCTTTCCTTCCATCGCTACCGCTTTTAACCCAGAACTCCATTTGGTCCATGCGTCAGATCTGTAATTCTGGCTATGTGGATATACCGAGTGATAACACATTTACTCGATCTGTAACCTTTATGATAAACCAACATTGTTAACTGCAACTGTTGCAAATTTTTAGCAGTCTCTATGTTAATATTATTTAGCTTTATACATAATAATATTTATCGTTATGCAATATTATTTCGTGCAATGCGTAATATATTTATATATAACATTTATACTTTTGTATATTTATATAAATATAAACTTTTAATAGTTTTGTGATGTATCAAAAATTATAAAAGTCAGATCATAAACTAAAAGAGTCTCCGACTGTACTGATTATATTGACTATCGGACACTAAATTTAAATGAGAAAAATTCCCTGACCGTCGATATGAATATACAAGAAGCGTAATGTAAGAATGAAGAAACACTTTATAGAAATCCTATACAGAGATGTTACTGCTAAAGATTTGAATCGCTTTGTTTCTATTTCAAGTAGCTCTCTGTTTTCTTTTCTCCTTTTCTATGTTTTGCGAGTGGTGAGAGGGATTTAATGTAACATGTATTAAGAATTAAAAATGGAGAAATATTCAGACAGTGCTATATCGTACTCCTTAAGTATCTATCTTCATTTTTAATTCTTATATATACACATATGTCACACACTTGGAAAAAGAAATTGCAAACACGCACATATAAGTGTGTGTTCTCTAAATATTCATACTCTACACATATTAAAAACGTTAATTATAATTTATTATTCAAAAACTCCAACTTTTTTTTAAAAGAATAACTTGAAAATTTGTCATCTACTTGAAGGTTGTTACTAATAATACAGGGGGTCGAAAAGTGAGCAAATTTACTAGGTTATTGACCAATAAGATCATAGATATTTTAGTAAATTTGCGCACTTTGGTAATTTTTTCACTCTATTGCATGATACACAATCGACCCCCGTCCCCCGTTGGACATTTCAGGTGTATTCTACATTAATTGACAATTAGGTTTTTTAAGAAAACAATACATTGCAATAATGGATGATACAAAGTCGCCGCCAAACATCGAAGATATTTGTCAATTAGAACGACAATTTCGCGAAAAGTTGTACGAGTTACAAAACGATATGGTGAATACGTCTGCTATATTGATTAACGCTTGAAGCATACTTAACCCAGCAAACCTATACAAAACTATTTCTAAAATTAAGATAATTTAAATAGAAACATGGCAAGAATAATAAACGATATTAATTAATAATTATGCAGAGAAACATAAATATAGATATTACAAAATATTTAAAGAATATTTAAATTATAGCACCGAGTTCGAATTAAGTTAAACATTGCAGAAAGAACATGTAAAACAATTTTTTCATTAACAAGTTAAAACTATTAATTTTAGAAAAATTATTCTTTTATTTAAAATTTGAAGATAATTTAAATGTATAGACTACATTTTAGATTAAATGTACAAACTTTTATTTTAAATAATATTTTAAAACAAAGTTTTGTAGTAACAAGCGATTGTGTGCAGAAATTATGCTCTTCTTTTGAGAAAAAACAATTTCTTTTAAGAAAATAAAATGAACTTTTTGCGATAGCTAATTCACTTATTTTAAATACGGGAATTATATACCTTGACTATGGTGCATAAATTATTTCATATTATTTCGGTGCAGGATACTGTGCAAGTGATGCAAAAAGAACTTGTGGAAACTCGCCTCGCTTTATACAGTAGAGAATTAGAATTGGAAAAAGAGCGTACAATTTCTCATGAGTTAAGAATGCAATTGAAAACAGCTATGGACGCCGTGAATGAGTTGCAACAACAACAAACGAAAAATCAGATTAATAGCGTTCAATTACAAGTCAAGTGCGACACGATAGCGAAACAGTACGATTCTATGATGAATCAAGTCACAAGCGCGAAGATGCACGAGATGGAATGTAAAATCAAAATACAGAGTTTAGAGGAGAATTTACACTATAAAGATCTAATCAATAAGAAATTGAAACAAACACTGAAGGAGCTCGAACATAATAATTTGCGCGCTACTACTACTGTCGATCGGTAAGTTTGTCGTGAATAAATTTGTGTCGAGTATCATATTTGTGTAATGAATGCCATGTCCAGCCAAAAGATTTTTTAATTTTTATGTAAAGATTTTATACAAAGTAGGATTTTATACAAGTAGTGATATATTATCTCCTAGAAAATATCTATGTATGTATAATATTAATTTTATGTACATAGATAGCTTTACTAGATCTTTATTTATCCAAAAATTTAGAGTTGATTTTTCTGCAGCGAAAATATTTGTAATAAAGTAGAATTTAATTTTATACTACTTTAATGATAATGTGTGCATGCATTAACGTCTACGAAATTGATCAATTATCCCTTATCATGTGATTTCAGTAAAATCGTAAAACTTAAAGAAGAACATCAACATCTTCAGAAATCTTGTGAAGCGGTTATTCATTTTAATCGACGTTTACAAACTGTGGGCTTGTGTGCATATGCGATACATCAAAAGGATAAAGCAAAAATTAAGGATCTGCTATGTATGCTAGCTTCGATGTCGGTCAAAAATATAGAATTCGTGGAAAAATTTATAAATTGCGATATTCATCCGGAAATAAAAAAATTGCTTTCGCAATCTACGTAAAAATCATAGAACAGGATAGGATAAATATTAATGAACCGGATTACAATAAAGACACTGATACACATATACAGGATTAATAAAAAATGTATTATAATAATCGTTTGTATATTTAAGTATAAGTTGAACAAGTTTCTGATGGTAAAAATGCAAATTTGTAAAATGCACATCATGACAATCAGCGAATAAAAGATTTTTCATCGTAGACTCTTGTAAATAAAACTACCTCTATATGCAAAATAATTCTGCCGAAAATAAGCTTCGCGTACTTATGCTATTCCTTTTTAGATCTAATAAAAATTCTATGACTATCCGAGTGTGATATAACAAAATTGTCTATAAAATGCTTGTTCAATTCGTCACAAGGCATTTTAATTACATCAGTTAATGCTAGTACACTTTACATTTTCCCGTTAATTTTGTGAAAAAGCTATATCTGCTTAATAACAGTATAAAAACGGTTGTGATATCTATACTGCTTAACCTTATTTATTTTATTATTTTTTTTTAGTTTTTAGTTTAGTTTTTAGTTTACTTTGTATGTGTGATGTTGCACTTGTGTGTGTATGTGTGTATGTGTGTGTATGCGTGTGTGTGTGATGTATGTTTCTATATATATATATATGTATTATTATAAACATATGGTCCTCCAATAAAACGAGAAACACACACAATGTAAATCATGTTGAAACGATACAAAATTTCGTGCATGACAAAATACTTCATCTCATTGCCATTAAGATCAACGAGCGTATATTGAATTTTGTATTGATTTTCTAATTAAAAAAAGATTAACCATATCCATAGCTCATGTAAGAAAACCAGAGGAGAAATTCATTGTGTTCACATATATATCACGTGTAACATATTTTCATCTGCTTTAATAAATTACATCATAATTTTTGAGATAGCTTAAAATACAGACAAGATAATTAGATCCCGACCAACCTATTTATCGCACAAACAATTATTACCTAAATCAGTTTAATTATATTGATTAACAGATTGGAACGTATAACAAATTGTAGGGTGTTATATAAATTAAGACGACACGCATCTTACACAATAAAATAAAAAAAAATCTAATATTTTCTCCTCTGAGGGTTCCTTCGGCAAAAGATGCGTTCATGCAAATAATTTCTGAGCTGTTAATACAATGCAAACATTTTTCATTGTCAACGAGTAAATCCACTAATGTAAGCCCAATATTTGGGACTTAGAAAGATTTCACAAAACTTGGATTTTGTTCAACGAAATAAACATATAAGTAAATAATAATAGTAAATAAACGCGCCTCGTTGAACAGTTGATAATATTTGGAGGGTCAGAGTATAGTACAACGAGCGAGCCAACTAGGTGGTTTCCTCTGTGGTTCTGAAGCTTTCAACTGATGACCGCCGCCTTTCGGTGGATTTGACGCTTCCTGTGTAGAACAAAGCATGGCATTAACAATATAATGCACAAATAGTAAGTATATTATATAATGCAAACGAGTTTTTAATGTACAATAATCATTTGTAATGTGTAATCTTGTAATAATTTTTTGATACACCTTTCTCCCTTGAAGCATATAAAAGCTTACTTGTTCTTAGCGAATAAAGTTTAGTGATTAAGATGTAGCAAATAAATACAAGCGTAGCATGAGTATAATTATGAGTATAGCTATGAGTATAGTTAGTATTTAGTTAGTTGTTAGAAACATTAATTACAAAGTGAGTTAATTGTGAATGGATACGACGTAAAATACAAAGATTAGTGTAGTGCAAAATATATGTATCACATTTTTTAAACATACGTAGAATAAAATTAATATCAAAGATGCAAGATCTGTATATACAATCTCTTTATACAATGAGAAGCTTACTTTTGAGTTAATACACATATTTAATCACAATAATCACATGGTTCTAATAGGTGTATATGGTATGTGAGACAGAAATGTGTTACATTGTCAAAATAAATTTAAATAAAAGCCACAAATGATAAATTGACAATGCAACATGCAATAATTCATGTGAATAAATTACAGAATGCTTCCTTGATTGTTATATTATTAGGGATGTAGAATTAGAGACTAACTAAAAACAAATGTACGACAAAAGTTACCTTCTGCCAAGATAGACCAGCACCAAACACAGAGAAACAGACAGGAAACAGAGAAACGGTAGTTATTTTGTAGTAAACATGAGAAAAATGTTCATATATAATGCTCAATTTTGTATTATAATATGATATGATTAAGTATATCTTTTTCTAATTTACTTTAGTTATTCCCTATTTATCAATGTGTGTGGTAAATATTTTTAGATATAAAAAAAATATATATATTAAAATATAAATGTCAATGATTACAAAATAAATATTCCATATTTGAATAATAAGCATGATAATTCCTATAATTCCATTAAAATATATGTAATATAATTTGTATTTTCTCACCAATTTTTTTTCCATTTTTGCTTTGATATCACGTGCCAAAGTATAAAAAGCCTCTTCCACATTGATACTAGATTTCGCCGAGGTTTCCATAAATTTAATGCCATATTCGACAGCTAATTGCTCGCCTCTTTCCTTAGTCACTTGTCTCTTATCTGTAAGCTCACACTTATTACCTAATAACATTTTTTCCACATCTGCAGATGCATTTTCCTCTATATTTCGAATCCAGTTTTTAATGTTCTCAAAACTCTTATCATTTGTGACGTCGTACACCAACATAATTCCCATTGCTCCGCGATAGTAAGCTGTGGTTATGGTACGAAACCTTTCTTGCCCAGCGGTGTCCCTACAAATACAAGTACATATATGTCACAGTTGAGTTTAACTTTACATTAAGCATTTAAATCGTATTCAATGTAAATTAACTGACGAAAATAAGGAGGTAGAACCTTAGCAAGTATTTACCATATTTGTAATTTAATTTTCTTGCCATCCAATTCAATAGTGCGAATTTTAAAGTCTATGCCTGTAACATATAACAAAATAAGAAATTCAGAATACTCTAAAAGATAGAGAAAAGTGGATAACGAGCGAGTGCCTAGCATACAAACTGGTGTACAGTACACGATGAATCACATTACTATGAAGAACTTGGCATAATGTGCTCTTTGTCCAATATCAAATAACATTAGGCGTGCGGATACACGTTTCGCAGAGACACACCCCGGAGCGCGCGGTTCCGCATGCGAGGAAACAGCGACAAGAAACGATTAAAGCAAAGTGCGGGAAGGACGTCCTGCATATGTTCACACATACCGATGGTGGAGATGAAGGTCGTGTTGAACGCGTCTTCGGAGAAGCGGAACAGCACGCAGGTCTTCCCGACGCCGGAGTCGCCGATCAGCAGTAGCTTGAATAAATAATCATACGTCTTTGCCATTGCCACGCGCGCGATGATAGCTCGGTTTTCTTCGCCGCTGCTTTCCCCGAGCGATATTATCGCTTCGCGACTTTAGCAACTTCACGGACAATATTTCCTCGTATTCGCGCGATGAGCTCCTAACAAGACCAGCTGGTTCCGAGTCTCTCTTTCTCTTTGCTTTTTTTCTCTCTCTCTCTCTCTTTCTCTATTTCTCACCGAAAATATTTAACCATTGCATCCGCGAGACATTTGACGAAGCGCGTTCTCCTCTCCTTCCTGCGATGCTTCTTCTCTGTCTGTCGGCTGTGACGAAACTTTAGCACAATTTATCACGATAATGACAACACGGGCAGTTATGTATAGTTTTTTTGCGCGAGATTCAAGATAGAAAAAACTTAGCCTCGTTCGTTCTCGTGCGCGCGACCACGAATTAACAAAGCGGATTAATCACGCAAAACATCTGTCACAAAAGGCGATGACAACCATTCGACCACCGCGATTTTTCCCTCATGTTGTGGCTACCTTGACTCATGCTGCCAGCGCTCTTCTCACAACACCTATACTATAGTAATGGTATAGATGGTTGTAGTTATAAGTGAATTTTTTAGATGGATGACGAAGACAGCGAGGCTTAAGGCCTGTATCCACGATGTTAGAACTCTGACATTATTGCAGATCCAAAGTATGCATCACAGATTATTAAGCTTTGTACATAATAGAGAAAATTTAGAAAAAGGAATAAATATTAACTCTTTTTTCAGTACATTAAAGTAAACCGATTTTATAAACTAAGCATCGATTTTTCCGTAGACAAAATTTATCAAATCTTTATTAAACAATGGCTGTAAATATTTAATTTTTATTTTATACTAAATATATATACTCCATTCTTAATATTTATATTTATTTTTAATATTATATAGAGATAATCTGTGATGGGAATTGCAACAAATCGCTACACATTGTAGTTCAATTCTATTTTTTACTAATTAATGTAAAACAAATATTTATATTGTATTTGTATTGTTCTAGTACCATGTAAAAAAATCTAAAATTAACCCATTTTTTATTTTCCTAATCCGCACCGTTGATCGCGTCACTCCTTCCCTACACTTGACGTCGCCCTTCACCCTTCGCGTCTCATCCCCATTCCCACTGCACTTTCCCACTCATTTACTTCTCGCGTTCCCTTTTTCACTACTCTATTTTCTCCCGCTTTCACATGAATTATAATTAGGACTATAATACACACGTCCTGTGGTAAATACATTTGAAATGATAATACAATACGTACAATTTATCGTTTATATTTATACTATATGTGTTACAAGGTAGATTATACATTATGATATAACATAATCATACAGTTCATGTAAAGACTAATTATGGTTTGTTGCATAAAAAAATATTTCATAGAGTGCTCATTTTTAAGCGTGCTTGGAAGTATTCACCATCTCCTTTGGTTGCCTGTTTGTTAATTTCCTTATGGCGCTCCCGACTTACTATCTGTTCCAAAACTTCTCCGTCACCTTTGATTAATCTTGAAAACAAAATCACAAAAACAAGAGTTCATTTTAACGTCTACGTATACAAGGGCAAAAAAATCTTAGAATTTAGAAGTAAAAATATAACAACAAAGCTTTTGTATATCGCAAATGATATATTTACTGCATCCGTATTGTATTTACCTGTATCTTCCAGTCTCTTCATCATAAACTTTGCGCATAATACTCTGTCTTTTTTCCCACTCCTCTTTTGTCATAGGTGCCATAGCTTTTGCTTTTTCTGTTACTTCCGAAAAAATTTCCTTACTCTCTTTGCCTCCTTCTTCTTTATTTTCTTTCGACTTCTTACCGTGTCCCTTTTTCTTAGATGTATACTTTTTGTACTTCTTCTTAAGTTTCTTCATTCGCTTCTTCTTCTTCCGTTTTTTTATGGCCTTTTTCAATTTCTTAGCCTTCCTTTTGGCTTTCTTTCGCTTCTTTTCATCTTCTGAGCTATCAGTACTGCTGCTGCTACTGCTAGTACCAGTATCACTGCTACTACTGGTACTAGAGCTGCTACTGCTATTGTCGCTGCTACTGCTACTGACACTGGAGGAACTGGAACTGGATAAAGATCTCTTCCTTTTTGATTTTTTACGATTTAACTGAGTTTGGTCTTGTGCACTATCTGCTTTTCTCTTCTGTTTGTCTTTGACTTGCTCAACTACTTCCATGTTATCTTTTATTGAATCAGATCTTTCCATCTTTGAGACAACTCGCGGTTGATTTGTGCGCTCCTTTGAACTGTTTTCTCGCACAGGTTGACTAGTTGCATCTTTGCTGGTATTTTTATGATAATCTTGCATCCTCGATCTACCATAACCAGTGCTTCTGTCATAACTTCTATTATTGTATCTATTATAGTAATGATTGTTATACGCACCCCTCTTATTTTTGTCATAATAATTATAGTGTCTGTAAGGTCGTGAATTGTTATAAGGTCGTGAATAGCCATAATCTCTTTGATTATCTTGAAAATTGTTGTATCTCTTGTAATACAATCTATGATCATTACTGTACTTTCCACCCCTTTTCTGTGACTCTGATCCATTTTCATATTTCTTAACTTTATGTTCTGTATCCCCATCTTTGCCCTTCCTCGCTTTATGTACATTCCTCTCCGAACTTGAAATGCTAGAAGAACTGGAACTGTTGGAACTACTTCTGCGCTTTGACTTCTTCCTCTTATCTTTGCAAACGTTTCGTCTCTTTTTATTCCTCTCAGAAACATTGCTATCAGAAGAAGCTGATCGCCTCTTCAACTTGTTCTCTGTTTTAATTGAAAACTCTGTTTCCATGACGAGTTTATTCAAATTATTCATCATTCGAATAATGATCTGGCAAAAACAAATCGTATTGAAGGTAAGTTTTACGTGAATAAAATCCCCACATTATAGTAAAGAAATCATAAATTAAATCATATACTTCATAAAATTGAATCTACAAAAGTACTCCATTTACTGTATTCCATTATTAATATTATTCACAAAAACACAATTGTATATCTTAACAAGGCACATTTTCATTCAAATATCATAAGAGATTTAGTTTTCTTGAAGAATTACTGTTTACTTACGATATTGCTAGAAAGATATAACCTCCATAGTCACGAACCACGTTATCTCAGAAAATTATTGTACAAATAACACTAATGCCTGCCTTTGTTGTTTACCCATGAAAAGTTAACAATATGGAAAAACACCGTGCATCTATTGATTTCATAAATTTCTAATCACTTCCAACGCTTTCATCGATCTGCATCGTTCTATTTCGAAAACTTGAAAGGATACTTAAGATCACTTCTCATATTCGCGTTGTTTAGGGTTTTTCGTACCTGTCTTTCTATTGGCAGTCGATTTCACTCGAATCAATGAGAATAAAGCTTTACTTTTGGTGATTATAAAAAATTTTTAATGTGCAAACGCTGGTAAGTATGTACATACCAGTAAAAACCACTATGAATGCACATTTTGACAACTTTGCATAATAAAAATTTCGTTGTACTTATTTATCGTTATATTAATAAACTTTTAAGTAATACAACAAATAAATTGAATAAAGTAAAAAGTACATTACATGTTATTTCGGAAAATGACGCAATTAGAAACAAAATGTTGCTGCAAAGACAAGGTAACCCTTTTATTTGAACGTATAGCTTTTCAATGTTTACAATACAATTATGTATTATTTGACAACGTTAAAATTAAAGGTAAAAGATGTAAGAATATTTTTACATTGTTATTGCAGAGAGGAAAAATTACAATACGCAAAAGAAACATATTTATTACAAATTAAGTTATACATTGTACTCCACCCATTATTAGAAGTACAGAGAAATGTATAGAGTATCTTTTAAGTTTATAGGTTTATTTGTATTGGTCTTTTATATTTTTATTATACATATAAATTATTATACAAGGATAAACTAATAACTTGGGAACTTTAAAGACTTAGATGTTACAATGAGATAATTACGATAAAAACAAAGTATGTTTTTTAACATTTTTCTGAACAACACTGCATATTTTGCTTGTTATATTAATTCATCGAGTGTAATCATGTTATCTCAAATCAAAATAAGATTTATCTATACAAAGCATATTACCACTGCAACTTTAATCTGGTCTCCTAAAAACAGCACTGTAAATTGTCAAATGTTTATTTAAAAATTTTGCTCTTTGGACTGTCTTGCAAATATCAGTAATCAGTAGCAAGATTTGTATTATTTTGGGTTATCAATAAATGCTATAATATGATTGCTAGTCATTTAAAATTGATAACATTTTCCGGTGCACTTAAATGTTCAAAATGTCAACTCGATTTATATAATTTATAATTATGATGCCAATTATCTACAATTAAGTATATTTTCACTGACCAAAATATTATGATATATACGAAATTCATTGTTGCAATCTAATAATTAAAAATAATGCAATTAATAACACATTTTAATTTAATGATAATTAAAAGTAATACAATTACGATTTGCAATTTAATAATTAAAAGCGCAATAAATTAATTATTAATATGTTTTTATATAAATGTCAGATATTGTCGTCTATTACCAATTGCACTGAATTGGACCCTGCTCTCTGTCAAGAGTTACATAAAATCATCGAGACAATCGCTGCACCTGGAAAAGGATTATTGGCCTGTGACGAGTCACCATTGTCCTTGAATGAGAGATTCCATATGCTCGGCATAGAAAATACGGAATCGACGAGACGTGATTATCGAGAGATGTTGCTCTCCGCGGACAAGGTCGCTGCATGCGATGGCAGTAGAAATTTTAGACGATGGCAGAGATGTAACGCAATTGATTACAAATCTAGCTATCCAATCCCAATTAAAGCAATATCAGAAAAATTTATTCTTTGCAAACTTTACAATTATTATTGAAATGGAGAAAAAATATTTTTCTTTTTCTCTAACAGAAATATAAATTTTATACCACCTTTTCCACACGTATGAACAATACCAGAAAAACAGTGAGAGTGCAATATAAATATCATACTTTTGACTTTAGACTCAACTTTCGCGATACATCAGTGGTGTGATTATGCATTGTGAGACCATCTATCAAAGAACATCGGAAGATGTGGAGTTCATCGAATTCTTGCGTCAAAGGAACATTGTAGCCGGTGTGAAGATTGACCAAGGTCTGGTGCCGCTCTTCGGCACCGAAGATGAGAAAACCACACAAGGTCTGGATGATTTACAAGAGAATTGTATTCGATACAAAAAAGAAGGCTGTCACTTTGCCAAATGGAGATGCGTTTTCTCGATGTCGGAACGATGTCCTAGTCAACTTGCGATGACCACCAATGCAAACGTTCTTGCGAGGTATCTGATAATATCAGTCATTTGCACAAGCCTTATATTGCAATTAGCAAAAGCTTGTAAAAATTTACATATTTCTTGCGCAACTTTATCAAACTAAACTGTAAACTAAATTCGAATCATTCGTAAAATTTATTTACTCTTCACATTTATATTTATTAAATATATATTTTACAATTCACGTTTGACAAAATCGTAAAAATATTGACTTGTGTATGCAAATTGTAAGAAGCAGTTGTTGCACAAGACAAAGTCTGGTTGCGTAATGCGAAATATCTTTGCTGGTGTATTTTTAAACACCTTGTTTTATTCAGATATGCCAGCATCTGCCAGCGTGCACGAATGGTTCCCATAGTGGAACCGGAAATATTGAGCAAAGGCGAACACGATATAAATCGGACTTTGCAAGTTCATGAAGAGATGCTATCCATTCTGTTTCGTGTTCTGAATAAGCATCATGTATATCTTGAAGGAATGGTTTTAAAGCCGGCAATGGTACTGCCAGGAATAAAAAATGAGATAAAATGCACACCGCAGGTATCATTTAATATATAATAATACGATAAAGCGTATTATATATTTTTTTTCTAAGAATATGAGTTACTTTTATATTTGCTCAAAAAGTACTGTGATTATCTTATTTTATCTCGTAGCTAAAAATTTTCATATTTATCTTCTTCACGTTATAAACAAAGAATTAAACTAATAAATAATTATTGTTTGGAATATAAAATTTATTGTATCAATGTTTGATTAAATTGAATTTTAAATAATAAATTTTTGATAAATTTAACAAAAAATTTGCATCACAGATTATCGCTGAGTATACACTAAAAGCATTACGAAGAACAGTTCCTACGGCGGTTCCGGCGATATTTTTTTTGAGTGGTGGTCAAACTGACGAGGAATCTGTGCTAAATCTTAATGCCATTAACGCGTACGATGATAAAAAACCATGGAGACTCAGTTTTTGTTATGGACGTGCTCTGCAGGTGTACATTATAATTGATGTTATTAAAATAACGTTTATTGCATTTTCTACACAAATTTTTTGCAAAATTAAAAATTTTTCCAATTTGAAAAAAATAGTTACACAAACGGTTAAAAAATCCATCCAATATTTCCATGTTTTCTTTAAAGTTATTTATTTATATATATATATATATAAAACTTTATGTTTCTGAAATTTGTTATACTTGTTTTGCCATAGGATACAGCAATGAAAGTATGGACTAATAATCCGAAAAACATAGAAAAGGCTCAAGCGGTACTCCTTGAAAGAGCCAAGCTATGTTCCGAGGCATCTTTAGGAAAATTACAGCTTGGAGAGAACAACATATGCACTTGAAACATCAGCAACATATTGATTGTAAGAACATTACGAATATTAAAAACATTTAGTTGAACGATATTTTAACAACAGTATTTTACAAGATACTTATATAAGATGTTACTATTATGAAAGAATAATGAAATGAAATATTATTTTAAACATAGTAAAAATACATTTATATATTATATAAATGTATTTTATGTTTCGTTAAATTATATTAAAAAATATTTGTCATTACAAAAACACACAAGTCTAATTATATAAAAAAAAGTATGTGAACTGATGTGCTACTTCTGGAATCACAGGCGCATAGGTATGTGTAAAAAAAGCTATAAATAACATTACATTATTTGGCGCTAATGCTCGCAAAAATATTTTCCACATAAAATATAATTTTTGTTAAACTCTTTATGTAAAAGACTGAATAATATAAACATATCAACCATAGTATTCATCATTGTCATACCAATGCGAAATTTTGAACATATTGAATAATGTACAGAGTCAACAATATTGGTGGTCCAAGGAAAAATCCGAAGATAACTTATTATTTATCATTCATTGCTGGGTAAACACCAAGACGAAGAGGACCAGGCCGGGAGTCATTTTTATCAATATATTATATTGTGTATGTGTGATAAGCTAATGCAGTGATTACAAAAAAGGAGGCGTGTCCGACAGTATTCACGTCCGGGTGCGTCAACCTTTGACCCATGCTTTGAAACACATGCACTAATTTCTATGAATGTCGAACAAGGTGCCCTTGGCTGACCTCTAAAATGGCGGTTCTCAACGCAAGTCTCTCGTGCGCGCGCTTGTCTGTCTACTGGTCGATATGTCGTTATCCCCGTCAGATCCCTACGCTCATCGACGCTCCATCGACTCTTTTTTTTGAACAACTCCTCACCACGTGGTACATGCCAGTTAGTCGTAAAAATAAGCATGCTGAAAAGTGACTAAAAGGACAATAGTTAAGAAAAAACTACTCGGACAATAAACTCATCTTTGTAAGTTAGTAATCTTAATTGATTCAATAATCTATGATAAAAACTATTATTCTATGTTATTATTATTTTCTCTTTGAGCACACAGTGTAAGCCACGTGAAATGACGGAAGTCGATCAGCTGATTGCGTACTCGCACTGCCTTTGACGTTTTCATGGAAGTTGAGCACCCATGCGAATGAGAGTAAGTGCGCACGCGTGTGATAAACACGCACATCAGACTTTGAACCGACGACGGCTCGCCTGCTAGTCCCTCTCAGTTGCTCTCAGTCGCACTCCAACCATCAAGTGGGTTATACGCAGGCTGACGTGCGCCGCGCGATTCTTACACACAAATCGGTAAACCACATCCTCTAAGGTGAGTTCGTGTGCTGTTTTGTTCTTACGCGGAAAAATTCCATGTCCCTGGGACGCGCTTACCTCCTGTGTATCGATCGTCTCGCACCGCTTTGAGAAATACATGAATTTTCAACCTCGACTTATCTATAACGACCTTCGACCTTGACTGACATTTGATCGTTGCCACCGTTGTGTGCGGCTCATCTGCTCTCTCGCTAATCGACGATAAGTATCAATCTTTGTACTGTCGAAATACTAATATTATTGTAGAATGATCTTATATCGCTCCGAAATTCTCTCATATGAACATGCACATCGCACGCGTGACCCATTACGTACGATCATGTGGGAAAGATATTTTTACAATATTTCGTCACTTTGTACTGCAAATGGAAAATTCTCGTCCGGCAAATCAAATAAGTATAATTTCGACGAATTTGATTTTTCTATAATATAAAAACGAAAGTATACATATATATATATATATATATATATATATATATATATATATATATATATATATATATATATATATACACATATATACATATATACATATATACAGTTTATAGCAAAATTTATATTTAGAATTATGTTGATTTCAACTTCTATCGTTTTCACATACGCTGTTCTGAATATCACAAGTGTATGATGAGATTGTCGACCAATGATAAAATATTGAAAGACTATGATTGTCGTGAAATGTAGACAACACATTTCTTTGGGAAATGTCTCGATCAATGAACAGCTTTCGAGTGATAGAATATTTTCAGTCTACCATAATTTATATTGTTAATATAGTGGTCAAACATATGACGTTGACAATTGTTGATAACAATGACGCATGTCGTTTGCCTAATGCTTCCAAAGTAACAGTAAAAATTTCACTATAAAATAAACTAAATAATAAAATTATTAAGTATTGATCCATTTGATTGTACATGCACAAAATAGTGACACTATTTCGTATTAAAAAAAAAAACTGATAAAATACCAGAAAAACAGGCTATTGTTAAATGAAGCGTAACTCCAAGACTTGTAGCATTTGTCGGTATTAAAACGCATACACATAGGGATGTTTACACAACTCCAATTCGCGAAATATTTTTTATTTAAAGAAAATTTTATTAAATGAATGAAACTCCATAATGTTACGTCATTCATCGGAGAGCCGGAAGATTTTCCTGTGCGGCTGAGCATGTTCACCTTCGTACTACACGCGATCAAGCGTCTGGTATTTGCTTGCGCGGTCGATAACTCGAAACGCTGTGAAATACTTATTTTCTCTTGAAAATTTTGGGAAATTCACTCAATATCCTGAGATAAATCTATTTCGACAGATATTAACTTATTGGACACACGTGTAATATCAGATTAAAAATTAGATATAGACATTAAAAAACTATTTTTTAAAACTCTGGTTTTAAATGATGCAATGGTGAAAGCGAAAAAATAACAAAATAAGAATATTAATAAAATTAATTTGTTGTTAATCAAGTTAATCAAGTGCGCAATCGTGGCAGAAAGAATTACAAGTTACCATGAACAAACATTATTTGTGCAATCTAATACTTATATGCGGAAACATGCCGACAGTTATTTTGACAACTGACGAAATAGTCACGTGTATGTCGCATTATTAGCGCAATGCATATATGCGTTATATGAAGCATTTAGTGTATACAGATGTAACTTCTCAATTAGAAATAGAGTGTTCTGTTCAGTGTCCAATATTCTTTCGTTTTGTAAATATGGATAGGCAAAATTACCTTCTTGATATTTTTTTTATATTAAGCACTTATTATTTACAGCTGTTATTATTTTTTTATATTGAATGCTTACTGTTTTTAGAGAAGAATGAAATGTTAATGTAAATTGATGTATATTTTCTTCATGATTTTTAATTCTGTACAAATCGTCATTATACAGGTGTTATACAAATAATGCAAATCTTTCGGTAGAAACCAGTTCGATTGGTAATTTTCGCTTTCACCTTGCACTTTTGTTCGACAGGTCTGATATTCGCATGGCCGACTATATCATAAAAATACTACCAATCTAAATACATGTATATATAAGTATCGCGCTATGCAAATCGCGTTCTGGTCAATTACCAACTTCTGCGTCGCTGTAATATGCATTTGTTCTTCCGTTTGCGATGCAATTTATATCCATGTTTGTTTGCATATTGGAGAAAGAAGGCTCTCAACTCTTGTCTTTCATCTTCACAGAATCACAGAATCCACAATTAGAAATATATCACGCCGTTATTTGATATTTCTTTCTCGCGCAGGACTTTTTTGGCGAATTAATTTAGAAATCTAAACTCTTTTATTAACTTTTAACAAGTGTTGATTATAAAATTATATATAATACATATTCAGTCTTAGATCAATCTTAATCAATCTTAATGAATGATTTTGATAAGTTAATGGAAACTGCACAAAATCGACACCGCGAAACTTGTAAACACACTACGTGCGTCGAGGGCAGTGAATGCGTGCAAAACTACTCCCAAGTTCGCGCAAGTCCCGATGTTGAACCTTCTCGAATACGGGTATACGGGTCAGCTGGTCGCAAGCTTCCACGCCGGCTAACCACAGCGCATTATTTCGCTGGTGTGTTATGTATTGACCGTGAGGCAAACTTGTCTTGGACCATGGAATGCCGCCGATAATGCGACAAATCGCTCCTCCAAAAGTTGCTCTGAATGTCTCAATCGGTCCAATCCTTAATGCAAAATGAGGGTGAATGCGTGTATGGAAGAAGCAGATATTTTTGCATTTCTTCTTTAATTTCCATTGTATCATATTTGTATTTTTCTAGTTGCCTACGTGTTAAGTAATGAAGAACGTATTTATGTAACAACTGTAAGATATAAAACAGTCAAGTTTACTGAATGCTGGAAATATACGTTTTATACGCTGCTTCTTTTATGGATTCACCCTCGTTTATTTCATGAGAAAACTTAATTATGATTTTAATAAATTTCAAATATACTATCTTATGATAATCTGAACAACTGCTTACAAAATAATTTTTTTTTTTTATTAAGCGAGCACAATTACACATCTTGGTCCGATTCGGCATGTCTGCGAGTTAGCAAACAGTTTTAGTCCGTTGCGAAAGCAATTTACATAAGATCGCGCAACACATGCACGGCTATATTTTTTCGGATACCGATTGCATTAAAATAGAATAAAAGAACGATAACATTATCACACATGTAAACAACCCCGTTGACCGCCCATGACTTTCTTCGCGAACGCACACGTTACACACAATAATTACTTTATTTTTAATCCTTTACTTTCTTATTTTATACTCAGAATGATACTCAGAGTTAAATCGCAAGAAAAAAAAAATTAATTTGAAATCGATTAAACTATAATTCTGGAATTAAAATAATAAATTTTGATTAATCTCTCTTCTCTTAGGGATACTGTTACATCAGGGATATGTGTTACGTTTAGTTTTATTTAATTTAAACATAGATATATAATAAAAATTATTACGAATAAATATTCGCAAACAGAAAAAATTGATACTTGACAAACGATTGTTGAATAATTATAAATAAATTTTTAATAAACACAATAAGAAAATAATGAAATAACTTTTTTACAGTTTTAATAAATTCGTCGCTGAAGAGATTAAATAAATAAAATATGATTACATATGATGTGACATATCATATATTGTATGTTATATAAAATAGCGTGAAGACCGTTTCGCGCTGCTGTCCAAAATCCCTAGTTATTTTTGGACAGTTTATTATCGTCGTACAATAGAGATAAAAATAGTTATTTTCATCGAGATCTCCTTTGTCAAAGATGGTTCACGAATTTAGTTAGATTTTCGTTTACTTTCTTAGAAAATAAGTCGCGTAATTTATTTTAGTCGGTTTTTAATTAATTGGATGTAAGAATCATTTGTTTCTTCTTATAGATTTAAAAAAAAAAAATTTTTTTTTTTATGTCTTCAGGTGTGTGCAAAAAGAAATATATTTATTTTTAAATTAACGATTAAAGAAAGAAAATTTATGTTTAATCTCGATTTCATTTAGAAACGCATAAATTGCGTCATCTGTACATTTATTGTGCGAAAACGCTGCGCATGTTACGTCTAGTTTCGTTATACATATATATACATATATCATAAGAATGTATTTCTCCACGAGTTTTTTCATTCTTACAAACTTTATGATCTTAATAATTGCTTTCGTTCTGGGGGAAAAGAAAAATTTTATGTGAAAAATATCAAGTGCATATTATATTTTTCTTTGCCATACAAAAATTATTTTATCAACTTCAAGAATTTAAGTCAGGAATTTATGAAGAAGCAGAAGTGAAGAAAATACGCTATATAAAATTCATATTGTGGAATAATTGGAAAAATGTCTTATTATTAAAAAAAATTATTACAAAAATTAATTATTATGAAAAAGAACATTGCGCAAAAGTAATGTACGCTTAATAATAAATTGTATATAAAGTTATGATGAAATTTTTCAAACAAATAAATTCGAACGTACAACGTAATTTTAGCTCACCAGTTTCTCACAACCCTCCACCCTCTTTGCGGTGGCAACCGGATATGCGCTCTCCTCAGCCTCGTATATCTTCGTGATCGTAAATTCTCATCTTCAGACTCGCCCCGCGTGACATCGTTCTACTCCAGAAAGTTTTTCAAAAGCCAAGAGCGAGTGTAGTAATGCTCGACGGTACAACTCTCCCGTGTAAATTTATTTAAATAATACCCTAAAGTTCAACAAAGTGTTGAAATTACTCCAATATGCCTGTAAATAGACCGCTTTATATGTGTAAAATATAAGTGCGTGCTGCACTGTCATGTTACTGTTTATTATCGTTTATCGTTCTTTGTTGCTACTGTTTATCCGTGAATTTACTTTACTCCGCGACAAACGTTGTCAGTCACATCTTCGATGTGAATATTGCAAGTGCAATGTAACAGTTTCACTTATTTGTTCGAAAATTTGAGAAAATGAATCCGAAAGTTAAAGGAGTTAAATTTATTAAAATTTATCAAAATTATTATAATTATAATTTATTAGAAATTAATTAATTAATATTAATTTCCGCTTTTTCTCGAGAAAAGTCACTTTAAACTTTTCAATTCCTTCGAACAAATATTAAAATAATTTTATAATTTATTCTCTATTGCAATCTCTCTAATTATATTTTCACGTCAGATTTTCAGTTCACTCTTGAATTTATTCAGATTGAATTAAACAATAAAGTTGGTGTACTTACAGATCGAATTAATCGAAATTGAAGAAATTGATCATAATCGCGCGCGTTTCGCTCGCGGAAGATCGACCGGTGCCGGTTGACCGCGTCGCGACGCCGTCGTCTTCAGGATACACGAATTCAGGGTGAGCAGGAGGGCACCAAGAACGTCTGCGCGTGGTGCATTGCGGCTAGCCTGCCCTCCCTCTCTCCCTCCCTCTTGCCCCCTATCTCTCTCTTTCTCTCTTTCTGCCATAGTGGTGCAGAATGCGTGTTCTGTCATCCCTAACCATCCCCGCTCGTCCCTCCTCTCGACCTCTTCGATTCCCCTGTCTTGCAGTTACGCCACTGCACTGCAGCCAGGTATATCTACCCCCTGTCTGCGCTACCGACGCCGGCGGGGGTACACCGTGGGGGTGGAACACGTAGCAGATAAAACGACAGTCGGCGACTCGCGGTCGTGCGAGACGCGCGCGTTAATTCGTTCATTCAAGATGTAGTCGAAACGGAGGGGCATGTAACCCGCCGAGAGACACGTTTATCTTCTCATTCTCCTTATTTCTGGTTTCTCTTTCTCTCGTTGTGTTGGTGTTTGATTGATTAAAGTCATTAAAGGATGCGCGTCGCAGCTCGTTACTTTCGCGATCGCGGTCTCGCTTCGCGAAAACACCGGCGCCTGGCGAACGACGAGCACATACGTGACGACGTCGTCATTACAGTAACACCGCGGTCGCGACGGTAATCCTTTATTATTACACAATGTCAACGTGTACGTGTCACGTTTATTGTTATTATCTTTATTATTGTCTGTTTTTCATTATAAGTGCGCGTAACACACCGTCTAACGATGGTGATATCGAGATGCCGCGCTTTCTTGTTTACGCTCGGTGAGTGCCACGATAAAATTTCGATCATTCCGGTGGGTGGTTTTCGACAGAGGTAAGAGAATGATATTGCCACGCGCAATTTTTTTTTATCCGAGATAGAGTTTGAGATCGGTACAATTTCGATGCGAATTTAAATTCTGATGAAATTCTGATGAGAAATAAGAGAAATTATAAATATAAATTAATCTTTCAGTCTTTTGGAAGTTAAAAAAAAAAAAGAAAAAAAAAAGAAAAAAAAACAAGTAAAACTGCTAAAAAGTTTCAGTTTTTAGGTCGCAAGCTGATGATGTTTGTAGCAAGAAAGTAAATTCACAAACATTATAAAAATAGTTTCAATATTTATCCATTATGTAAAATGTATATGTTATAGTAATGAAATCTAAGTTTATCGATTTTAGTTGCTAGATAATAAGAGCGATCAGACATCAGAATGTCGACAGAGAAAATTTAACTGCTCTACAAAGGAACGAAAAAGTTTCGAATTATCTAATATCAGACAGGCGAAAGAGCGTTCTCAGAATAGAGCATTGTAAGATTCTTTAAGAACTCTGGAGTTGATGTACGTGTATCTATATACTCAATATAATTACCAATTTCTTTTGCAGTTGTAAATTAATTAAAATTTATATTTACTGTACAGCAAATATGTAATTTAGCATAAAAAGTGCAATAACGTATTTGTTTGGCGAATTATGAGATTATTAATTAATAAGTTATATAAACAGTTTTATCGATACGAATTTTTTATGGTGAAATCTCTTATTTTTTATAATATACATAAGCAACAGAAGTAATATTGAACCGTATAATAATGCATTTTTCTTTACAATCTCGTGTATATGTGAACTGTTTATTTATTAATATACTATTTAATGGCAGACAACTCATAACTTGTCATACGCAATAGCGGAAATTTACTGGCGAGTTCATCTGGCAAGCTCGCGTTATCTTTAGCTTTATTTATTTAGTACATCGCTCCGGCGAAGTAAAATTTCACCGTTTATTATCGCAGTACAGGTCCTAGGAGCTCTAAATAAATTGAAAAATATTTACGCGTAATTGTAAAAATATATAATTAAAAATTAATAGTTTTGCATAAAAACATGAAAATATTTTATTTCCAGTATTTTTGAACAATAAATTTTGTTTGTGTTAAAATGCTGTGTGCTTAAAAGCACTGGAGAATTTTATTTGCATTTATTAATTTGGAAATGTTAAAGGCGATATTGCAATGTATAAAAATAGGATGTACAAACAAATAATTTAATTCTATGGAAAAATTTGAGAAAAATCAGCAATAAAAATGCAGAATTTTATGATGAAAATATATCGCATTGTTAATTCAAATGAACGACAAAAAATGATAAATAATGGACAATGTTCACAATGTTCATAATTTCGCGAATGCTATACGGACAGAGCGATGTTGGGAAGCTACTGTGTATTTTCATTTCACGCGATGCTTCGGATTCATCTGTAATATTAAAGGCGTTGCCGTCTCCAGAGTACCATTCCATTAGTCGAGTTAGACGACGAACACGTGGGAATTCTCGTTAATCCGATAAAATCATACGTGACGAATCGTTGAGTGATCTCTGATTCCTTTTCGGATGGACTTGGAAATTTCAAGCCATCTACAGATATAGATCTATCTCTTTACCTATCAAAGACCTATCAATTGTTAATGGTTCATATTACTTCATCATTTCACCATAATTTTTAACTCTTTCCGAACGGACGTGCTCTACAAAGAACACCCTCTTTTATATTTTCAAAATTACTCGACTGCTTGATTCTTGTGAAAGGCTTGGTCTATAGGGGTATTTGTTGATATTTTATTCAAGTTTCAGGTCAAAAATACAAAATTCAAAGTGGCAGATTCAATATAGTGGACCAAATTTCAATAAAAATAATCGGATTATCTGGAAACTCGGTTTTAGGGAGTTTTCAAGGTTATCTAAATTCGAATACAACCTCAGAATTATGAAATTAAAAATGGATCCAATATGATGAAATAAATTTTGAAAAAATAATTGAATTATCTTGAATCTCGATTTTAGGGAATTTTGAAATTCTAAAGTGAGTTTAGCGATTTCAAAAATAATCTAAAACCGAGCTTTTCATGATAATCGGATGAATTTCTTGAAATTTGGTCCGCCGTATTGGTTTCGCTACTTTGAATTTTGAAATTCTAGGACCGCAATCAAATTCAGCTACTCTGAAAAGCCTTAGACAGTAAGGCTTGCGTTCACTTGGTTAAAAAGCTCCTGTTCCGAAAGGGTTAATCGATTATCGATGTACTTACTTTGCTGGATTCTGCTAAAATTTGCGATCATTATTAACATTAATCCAAATTTGGTTAATAAAGTGTTATTCTCGAATTTGCAGAAAATGGTAGCGGAAAAGTACAACAAACTCGAACCCGATCTTGCGGAGGAACTACGCACGATTGCCCAACAGATTGTAGCGCCTGGCAGAGGTATTCTAGCTGCTGATGAGTCGACCACGACGATCGGCAAACGTCTGCAGGACATCAGCGTTGAGAACACGGAAGACAACCGAAGGGCTTATAGACAGCTGCTTTTCACTGCAACAAAGGTATGCTGAATTAATAATTGATAGAGAACTTACAAAAAAGCATTTTAATGAACAGTTTATTTGTATAACGTAAATTATAAATTTTATTTTATTTATACAAAGTAAGTCAAAAAGTAAAGAGATATTTTCCATTGATTTAGGAACTAAAAAAGTCCTTTCCACTTTTTGATTTATACTTAATATTTTAAATCCATCTATATATGTATATATCTTTGTGGTCTTGCAGAACTCAATAGTTCAAAGTCGCAACGACAACATTTCTTTCTGAATTCCTAATCTGTGCTGTTTCAACCTGATTCATTTCAGGCATACCTGATTCTTACTTAAATCAATTATCATATTGCCCCCACATCGTCTTTTTCACTTTCCAATGGATGCTTTTTAGTCATAAAAAGCATGTAATAATAATAATAATAATAATAATAATATTAAAATAACATAACTATATAATATTAAAATTATGTTAAATAATTTATATAAATATAAAATATTAATAATTTTTTATAAGCAATTTGTATATTTATAATTAATGTAAATCTAAATTCTTATCTAATTATTCCGATACTTGTTTCATTGTTTTGAGAAATTATTAGTTATATATTTTATTCTACCAGAAAATATAAATCGTAATTATAATAAATATCTTTCTTCAGGATGTCATCGGACAGCACATCTCTGGAGTAATTCTCTTCCATGAGACTCTCTATCAAAAGGCAGACGATGGTACACCGTTCGTCGAGCTGTTAAAGCAGCGCAACATCATCCCCGGTATCAAGGTTGACAAAGGTGTCGTCCCGCTTTTCGGCACAGACAACGAATCCACGACTCAGGGTCTCGACGATCTCCAAGCGCGTTGCATCCAATACAAGAAGGACGGTTGTCACTTTGCCAAATGGCGGTGCGTATTAAAGATCACCAAGGATACGCCAAGCAAGCTCGCTATCTTGGAGAATGCAAATGTCTTGGCCCGCTACGCTTCTATCTGTCAGAGCGCAAGGATCGTACCGATCGTGGAACCAGAGATCCTTCCCGATGGTGACCATGACCTCGCTCGTTGCCAACAAGTCACGGAGGAGGTTTTGGCGGCCGTATACAAGGTATATTATTGACCTCTGTCTTTTTTAAAGGAAAAAAAGCAAATGAATTTTGCTTTCTTCACTCTTTTTTTATGTTATAAGTTTTGAGAAAGTCTTGAGAAAATTGTGAAGTATTTAAATTGGTAATGGAAAATCTATTAGTAACTTACTCGGAATAAAAGATGTTTATATATTTATTTATTTTCTTTTTAGTCGGCCCTACGGTGTAGGCTCTTCTCTCAATTTGAATCTGTATCTTTGCCTTTTTGTTTTTGTCTTAAATTCTCATTGTCAGTATATGAAAGTTGCGGTTTTATTATTCAAATTTTGTTGTTGTGCATCTCTCAATAAATTAAGATTAAATCTAAACAATAAGACACAATTATAAATGGTAGACAAAATTTGAACGCGAAAATTTGCAGAGATAAAACATTTTTTCATGTATATTTATCTTATATTATACATATCTAAATCTAAAACTGAGCTTTAAAGTTATTGGAAAATAATATTTTAGTGGCAATGAAATTGTATACAGTGAGAGTGTAACTATAAAGTTTTTATGCAGCATACGTGTACTTGGAAACTGTTTAAAATAAAAATTTATTCAATCTTTTTATTCTAATTAATTATAATTGATAACATTTAATTTAGATTGAATTTTACAAACAATAGTCTGAGATAATATTTTAAAAGTATTAATATAAAAAGTATAAAAGTACAAAAGCGAGAATTCATGTAAGAGACGATAGAAGTTTTCATATATATCATGTTTAAAGTTTTGATATGTGCAACATTTATATATATATATTTATTTGCAGGCACTCTCAGATCACCACGTATATCTCGAAGGAACGCTGCTGAAGCCCAACATGGTGACTCCAGGTCAGAGCTGTCCAACGAAGGCGACACCACAGCAGATTGGTGCCGCCACGGTGACGGCATTGTTGCGCACTGTACCACCGGCGGTACCCGGCATCACCTTCCTCAGCGGCGGTCAATCCGAGGAAGAGGCGTCGGTTAATCTGGATGCCATTAACAAATATCCAGCAAAGAAACCTTGGGCGTTGACGTTCAGCTATGGACGTGCCCTGCAAGCTTCTGTGCTTCGCGCTTGGCAAGGCAAAGCCGAGCAGGTCGCCGCCGGTCAACAAGAGCTGCTTAAGAGGGCCAAGGTAAATAATTACATCTTGAATATTTGAATATTTGTTTTGTCTAAAACATCTACGGATGTTTCACATATATGGTTTATATTCACCTTTAATACTTATCTTCTGCATTTGTGGCTAGATAGCAGCTGTCTAACTAGTTTGTCTTTCTTTGATTTCTGTTTTGATTTTTCAAAGTAATTTTCTCTTCTAACATTTACATTTTGTATTATCTTTTGACCTATATCTCACACATTTGCAACCCTCTTTTGACGAAGAAAAATCTCATACTTTTTTTGTTCTGTAGCTATCGTTAAATGGTCGCTTGGAGCATTCGAGGCTACGGAGCGACGCGTATTTACTTTCTTTGCATGTTCTATGTAATGTGTGCTTGTTTAGGCAAATGGCGCAGCCTGCCAAGGCAAATACATCGCCGGCAGCATTTCTAGCAAAGCTGCTGATACCTCTCTCTTCATCAAATCTCACGTCTACTAAAAAATCTTACCTTTCCGCACAGTCTATTTTTTTTCTGCCAGTAAGTATAATGAGATAACATTGAATACTTTAACTTTTCGTAAATCAATATTCATCTGTTTACAGTGACGAATGAATGATTTTTATTACTCTCTTTCTAATACAAAAATACGATTTATAATATTTTAAAGCTCTTATAATGATCCATGAGACGTTAACGTTATTTTTTAAAGACAAATAACCAAATAATGTTTTGTGCGTTTATATCCATATATATGTAATATTTATATTTTTATAATCTTTTTTCTTGAAGAAATCTCTGAAAATGTAAAAAATGATACTTGAAATTTTATAAATTACACTATATTACGTTTACAAAATATCTAAGTTAATTATTCGTTCAATCTCTTTTGATTCCTTTTAATTAATTTTAATTAATAAAACTTAATTTATACTAACTTATAAACTTTTTGTACTTTTATTTCTATTTTAAAATTCTTGCAAACTTTTTTACGTAGCAGACGCGCTTAATGTTAATGTTACAACTAAAACTGAATTTTCTTTTTTTCAACAGGCGAACAGCGAATCGGCACTTGGTAAATACGCGGGTGGTGTCGCTGGCGCTGCGGGAGATGCGGCTCTCTTCGTCGCCAACCATGCGTATTAGATTGACTCATAGAAAAAAATCAATTCAGAGAGTACCATTAGAAACGTGAAATTGAACCGCGTGAGAAGCATCTCCTGGGATTATCGTCATTGTCCTTCTCTACCAAAATTGCGCAGAAGTAAATTGCATCCAAGACGATCGAGAATCACACAAAACTTAAAGTTTCCAAGAAGATTGCTTGTCTCTCCTTTTTTTGTTCTTAAACGTGATCGTTTTTCATGAGTAATTGCATGTTTTTAAAATTTAACAGAATGATTAAACTCGAATCATGTACAATAAATTTCTATTGATTGCTTACAGTTTTTAATCAATCTCTGATAATGTGTGTTTCATGACTCAGATTAATATCTCATAACTGGTACAGCAAATTGGTTAGCTGTTTGATGAAAATCTAGAAAATCTCGTAAATTCCTTGTCCTTTAAGGAGTTTTAACAAACAACTTCGTAATAGTATGTATACAAAATATTGAGTTGAAATTATTTTTCGGCGCGGTCTTTTGTTTCGATTTTCTGTCGATACTTTTGCTACTGTTTTAATTCATCGAGCAATTAGTTGAACGAGGTTCAAATCCACCAGTAATAAATGATCGAAGGACGGAAATCGAGGCACTACATACCGCACACGAATAGATTTTACGAAACTCGATATTACGATACGCATTATTATTATATTCTGTAATTCTACAAAAAGCAGATATATAATATATACATATATAAATATATATATTATCAATGTCGTTATACGGTATTCTATGTGTATAAAATAAAAGAACGCAAGAAACAGAAATATGCAAAATAAAACGAATATTAAATGTTATTTGTTAGCAATTGAGTCAAATATTACGAAATCGTGCTATATTGTGTCATCTACTTATACTATGTGTATAGATCTTGCATAGACACTTAAGTAATCTATTGAGAGTTATCTCATACGTCGGTGTTATATCTAAATATTTCCATTGTAATCTAGGTCACCAAATACAACTGTGGAGGGCAAAAAAAAAAAAAGAGAAGTTATGCATGACTTATTTCAAAATCTCCTTCTGAAATTTTAAAATAACTAATCTGAAACCTATAAATATCAACTTACCACTTAATATGTAAGTAACGTGGTAAAAGCAAGAATATAATTGTAAAATTTATTATAAAAGATGCAAAACATTAATGCCAATTAATGCGATACATAAAGTCATACATGTATATTTATTATTATAATTATTACAATAATTGTATGTATATTTCTCCTGATAGACTAAGAAAAGTAGTCTAAAAATGTCTATTTATTTATATCTATAATATATTAACAGTTAATATTTTATTAATAAATACAATTGGTACAATTATTTCAACAGTTTAACCGCGCGAATTAAAGACGCTTGCTGTCTTTCAGCGCTATGTTTCGGTTTGATAATGAACTAAAATCAGTCGTTGCCATGTCGATATCATAGGTGGTTTTTAAAAATGGCTGTTCTCAAAATCAAAACAAATAACAGCTGTCAAAAACAGCGTACGTTAATTGAATGTGTCTTTATAAACGTAAATAATGTGACACTGGTTGTTTTCAATTCTTGTTTCAATTCATGTTTTGAGCATTTGTTCAATGATGGAAGAAGAGCCTGAAGTAGTAGAGCACTTTTTTGGAGTTTATTTATTATACTGCATGAATCCAAGGTACAAGGGAAGAACATATATAGGTTACACTGTAGATCCCAAACGAAGAATTAAGCAACATAATGCCGGTAAGAAGCATGGTGGAGCTTGGAAAACTAGTAAGAGAGGACCATGGTAAAGATAAGCTTGATTCCTTTTTACTGCACATTATTTACATATCATTATATAAATTATAAAAATAAATACATTATACGCATACAATCTAACTTCCTTGAATTATTATTTTTAGGAACATGGTCTTAATTATTCATGGATTCCCTAACAGCACCTCCGCACTTAGAGTAAGTTTTGAAATTTCTGTTAAAAACAAATTGTAATTGTATTAAAATTGATTACTTTTTAATGAGCTGCATTGCTTTAGTTTGAATGGGCTTGGCAGCATCCACATGTAAGCAGGCGGCTGAAACACATTCCTAAGAAAAAGTCATCGCAGAGAGTGTTTGACTTTTATTTGACAGTCTTATCTGAAATGTTGAAAATTGGGCCGTGGTGTCGCTTACCCTTGACAATGCGTTGGTTGGACTATGAATTTTCCAAGAATTATTATGGACACATATCTCCACCATTACACATGCCTATATGCTATGGCAAAGTTACCAGTTGTAAAGCCAAACAAACACAAAGAACAAAAACAAATAATGTTTTATCACAGGAATCAAATATGATAGCGAAAGAGTCACCACTATTCTGTTCCCTTTGTGGCTCAAGTATGATAGAAGAAGACTTTGTTGGTTGTGTACGAACAAACTGTCTTTTAATCGCTCACTTGATCTGTTTAGCAAAATTATTCTGCAAGGATGGAATGATTTTACCGATTGAGGGTACTTGTCCAGCATGCAAAACCAATGTCCTCTGGGGAGATCTTATAAGAAAAAAAAACGGTTGTTATCAGGGTCTTTCAGAGACTAACACAGATTCTCATTCCAGCGACAGTGACGATATTTAAGCATAAGGAAACACAATTTTTATTAATTATAAAGTTAATTATAATTCATAATCAGTTGTAAATATGAATATCATTTAATTTAGTGTACCATAGAAAATGATCTAACAAGAAGAATTGTAAGAGGTTGTAATCGACAATTATTTCTAGAAATAGAATAGCAGAAATAGACTATATTGTTTATTGCAATCTAATCTCATTGCTATTCTCTTCTTTATTAATTGTGTAATATAAGAATGTTGTAAGTAGATTTTTTTTTTTAATTTTTACAACAAAAATATTGATTGAAATACTCAAAAAATAGATTATCTTTTGCGTGAGGTGTGATATCTGTCACAACTTGTCCTTCGATTTCAAAGAAAAGTGCACAATCATGTATACAACAATCATCTAGACTGTGTCGTGAGGTGAACATATGATAAGAAACTAACGAAAAAGTAATGATTATCTTCAAATTTATAAATCACATTATTCTTTTCCTCTTCAGCAAGATACTGTCATTAACACGTTCCATGCTGACGATTCATATAATTATAACAGGCAGTTCTCCAATTACAGAGGTTCCCGGTTCGAATGTGTTAACATGTTCCGTGCCGCGTAGGTCATCGGTAACCCACGCTAAACTTTTCTTTCAGGCTGTTTGAAATAAAATATTTCCTATTTCTTATTCTAATACTTTTTATGCCATAACATTGTGTTTTATTATATTTCTGTCTTGATAATTATTATAATTATAATTTTATATAACATAACTTATAAACATGTATAATAAATTTCATAACATTAATGAGAAAGATCGCGTGATATCAGCGCGGCACAGAACGTGTTAAACATGAATTTATGTCTTATAATGCAAAATTTATTTTTATAATACACTATTTATGCAATATATATATATATATGTGTGTGTGTGTGTATATAAAGTGCTTAATATTTTATTACAAATTTCTTATTATAGATATTAGATTCACCTATAATATATAAATATTGACTCTTACAAAATTTTATAATAACGACATTGCCATTTATTCCATTCATATTAATATTCTCATATTAATTATAAGTTCTTCAAATATTCAGCTTAATTGGAATTCTTAATTGGATTGCTTAATTAGATTTCAGTTTAATTTATCTCATTATCCTAACAATAAACTTGAAATTTGAATCGGAATTTTAACTGATGTTATTCCTCATCGATATAAGTATATTCTACGAATAATTTAGACTATCTTCTTGTATTAAAAAACGCGTGTTTGATGCGTATTTTTGTGAGTGCTTGTGTATTTAATTGTATAATGCGTCTTGATGTTAATACGAATGATGTGTAACATCTGGAACGTTAACTGTTACACAGAGTGATTTCTATTCGGTGGACTATTTGGTTTACTGTGTAATTAGCACGCGCCGCGCCGAACCGTTAGTAGAACTCGGACGTGATCAAACAGTACCATGTACATCGAAATACTTGAAATGTATGCGAAGAACAAACGTGTCAAAGAACACATTTTCCTTTTTTCTCGGTCACAAGTTCGCAGCATATTAATTTTCTCAACTGGTCACAAATAGTACAGATTGACTTGCAAATTGACTTACAATTAGATTATCTAGATTACTTGTACACATAAATAAGTAGTGTTATATTGTTGATTGTGTGAAGTAATAACGCAAGGATTAATAAATAATACTTTTATTGTCAAATTTGCTCTCGCTGAGAAGAATATAATACAAATAATTTACATTTATCGTGCAATTAATAAATTAAATAAAAATAAATAATATAAATTAAATAAATTAATAGATAGATAACATTACACACTATAACTATACGACGCAGTATATTAAGATTAAATTTACTTTCTTTTGTGTTAGAAAAAAACTCGAGAATTTTTATGAATAAATTAACAATATGAAAAATATCCCGAATTATATCGAAATATTGAGACACACAAATTGCAATGAAATTTTCCAGCCATTGGCACTGAAACGAACGGCGGGAAACTATGCAATTTGAACGCATAAGAACGCTTTGTTTTTTTCTAAAAATTTATGTGTAATGTTAAATAAAAATTATCATTAAAAGAACAACAAATAAATAAAAAAGAACTCTGCTGTTAATATCAGTGAACGCCGCGCTTTCCGCCTTATTTGCCGATTATCCGGAACGTTGCTTGCAAACTAGAACTCCCACAGTAATTTTATAAGCTGTTCACTGTTTATTTACTTTCATTGCACATTTGAGCCGGTTATTTGGAAAGTAGTGTAAATTCAGTTCTACATACCAATGCATTTCAACGCAATGAGAAAATAAATTAAAATAACGAAATTGCCGTTTTATCAAGCTATCCGAAACTGGTCTTACAAAACTTTTGAAAGATAGGCAGCAAATTTGTTATTGCAAAGATTGCCATCGCGATTCTGACAGATACTGCTTCCACTAGAGTGGAACCGATAAAATTGATGGGTACGTTCGCTTGATACGAGATAAAGCGGAAAGCGGAAACGAGTGATTTGTTGCCCACATTTTCACTCATGGTAACCGATACACATCCATTAGCTCTACCGAAATTACGACGAATAACGGTACGGAAAACTACTTGAAAAGCCTCTCGCGCAAGATTCACGGACTCGTGGCTGAATCATAATCCGGTTATCGCGTCAAAAACGAGATTTTCTAATCCATGAACTTTCGAATATAGTAATTCAGGACAATTTTTTGAATTTTTTATTACGATGACACAAAGTTAGCGAGGCATATTGCTTCACAGTCCATACTTGTTTGTATAAAATTTTTTATTTAAATTACTATATAAATTGCTTAATTATTAACTTTCTTTTATTTGCTCTTCCCCCGATAGGAAAACATTTATAAAATTATACGACGAAATCTAAATGAATTTCGTAATGTTACAATTATGTCACTATATTGAAAAAAAAGATGTATGTAAAAATTTGTATCTTTTATGAAATATTAATAAATGTTTGCGCAATTTATTTTTCAGGTGTATCTCAGCAAAACAGCAACGTTGTGACGAATCATCTTAGCGAAATAATAATGCAGTTTAAATAAATTGAAATAAAATTTAAATTGTATTGTGCAATGGTGAATTTTAAACGCATAGAATTTTATGACACAATATCTTAGTGAAAGCAATAAAATAGTACTTTTTCCACGATAAATGCGTGTAAAGTATCTCGACGTATCCATTTGCGTATACTTATTGCGATTATTCGCGCTTGATTCCATTGATCCAGATAATTTCCGAGGCACGGAGAGATAACAAAAAAGTAATTTTTCATGATTCAGGCCGCTTGGTTTGCCGAGATAATGATTTAAAAGCTAATTTTTCATTTACGCAGACTTTCCGTTACTCAATCGTTTTTACACAACGCCTACAATTAAACTAGTACATATCTACTTTAAAAGAGCTCAGGTACGAAGGTATCGTCGCCGTAATCGTCGTTATACTCCTCTGCTCCAGGCGGTACAAAAATTCCGCCAAGTACCCCCGAGAGATTTTCACCCAGCCCCATCGCCGATGCCACCCCGAAGACTAATCTCATCACCAGCAGCCGCATGAAGTTCACCACGTTAGTCTCTTTACTTTGCAGCGACAGCTGCGTCGTCTTCTTCGACCTACCCTCTGCATATCGAACCTGCGAATCACGAGGCAATTTTTGGAATGTTGTCGACGAGCAATTTTTTTTCTTCTCAGAGCTATGTATTTACTTTTGGAACAAAAAAAACCTACTTAGTTTTGAGAAGAAAAAAAACTATTTAGTTTTGCAAAGCTATTTAATTTAAGAAAAATCTATTTACTTAGTTTTGCAAAACTATTAGTTTTGAAAATAAAAAGAAACTTAGAAAAATATAAAAAAATTTAAGTCCGGCAACTTGGAGATTATATTTCCGTATCAGTCCAGTCGATAAATTTAAAATTTATTTATTTATATTTATATTTATTATTGACTTATTAAATATACTATAATGATGATAATAATAGAATGGTGATTTAAGCTCGATAAATTTTTTATAAAAAAATATAAAAATTGCACACAACGTTGAAAACAGATCAAACCTGAAAGCAAAGATTGATAAATTGTTAAGAAATTGAAAAAAATTTGTACTCACGCTCGTACAGACGAGCAGAACACCTAGCAAAACTATTCGGGCTCTCATGCTGCGCTTCCTAGTGCGCGCGACGACCACTTCCGGCGACTACGAGGGTCGACCGGCCGTGCGATAGCTCGACAGCGATCGGCGTTTACCCAAGGCAACGACGTCGCGTTATTTGCATAAGAGGCATCCGCGTCTCGGCGAACGATCTGTTGCGCTACGTTTGCCGAGTGGAACTGAGGAAAATCGGCTAGCGAGCGGCCAGTCTGAATCCACGAGTGTGGACGACCTTTTTTTCCACCACAACTCACAGCGGTCTCACGCCGTCTCGAAGTGAACGAGAAGAGAAACGGCATAGTCGAAACGCGATGATCCGCTCTCCCCCGACCGGCCCGGCCAGGCGAAATCGACATGTCGTTGATACACGGCGACCGCGGATATAGGAGAGCCTGAGTTATTCTACGATAACGGTATACCACGAAAAAAAGGCATCCAGGCCAGTCGCGGCTTCGTGCGCCATAAGGTCGGTTAGCCAGTCATCGGATGCGCGACGTTCGGCGTGCGCTTTTATATCGCTATGTCACGTGTTTCAGCCAGATCTGTCGAGCGAACACTGTTGGAAAAATTACCACAAAATCCAAACAACCATGACTGTTTAGCAAAATCTGAGAAAATTTATTATATAACGATGTCAAGACAGCGAAATCGTGACGAAATCTAGGTGACTATTATGATTCAATAAAATCTGAGTAAAAGAAAACACAGGATTTTGTAATTTGTGATTGATTGGTTTTGCAATGAGAGACAGTAAAATATATATTGAACAAATTTTTCTGACGCATATATGTGCACTTGGTGTTTTTCTTCACTTTTGATTTTATTATTGCGTGCGTTTATTAGTGAGAAAGTATTAGTGAAATATTTCAGTATGACGATTTAATAATAGATTTTAAGAATTTAGAGCAAATTATAAATATTTAATAAAATAATATTAATGCCTAAAAAGAAGTTTCTGATTTCACTAATCTTCTAGAATATTAATAAATTTAAAAAATACTTGACAAATTATCTGAGAAAATTATTTTATATTAATTATACTAAAGGAATAACACTATTAAGAGTTAAACTACGGTTTATATCTCTTAGAAGCTTTGAATAAAAGAATCTTACAGCTTGAGATTAATTCTGACGGAAGAATATTACTGCACCGCTAATTGGAGTTTAATTTTTATCGACCTTATTATGATTAAAATGCAATTGTTTCGCTTATTTTGTTTTAATTAATACTTAAATAAATTTTAATTAACAAATAATTAAAAATTAGTCAAATTTATTTTATTAATTTATTTGATTCATCAAACAAGGTGTAAAATTTGCGTAACGATGTTTACCTGATGTTCCCAATGATAAGCTACAAGCGTGGTATCCTTCGACTATATTCTCGCGAGTGACCTTTGTTCCGAATTGCCAGTCTTGTACCATTGGCCTGCTTACGATTATGCGAAAAAATAATGCACTGTAAGTCCCGCAAAGCAACGTGTTACTAGAAAACGCACAAGAAATTAGCCTGAATTGTAAGCACCGATGAAATCCGGCACGGATCGTTAGCCGGCGCATCATCCATTCGTGCTGTATATTACGCGATGTGTTACGAAATTTTTTTTGCTTATCGTAATAACGCCAGCAGCCGTTTTCCCTCGGCTGTCTTAGGTATATAGTTCAGTAAACCACTTACGATTCGAGCTACTTTGGAGGGTAAATCTACTTTCAGCAGTACTCTAACAATTTGTTTACATTTCTTCATTTTAACACTCTCTCGTTATATTTAATTCACATATATTTTGTATCATTTAATGAAGATAAAAAATTCTACAAAATTTTACAATCTTTAATTATAATATTTATTATTCAATCTTAATAGTGGAATTTATTCTATTTTCTTCTGTTTTCTTCTATTTGATACTTCTTATTGTAGTAATTATTAGAAAATTGTATTTTTGATAAAAATAAGCTTCTACAAATGTTGCAAATTTTAAAAATAATCAAAGCGTTGCTGACAAAGTTATATCCATCTGGCTGCATTTACATTTACAATTATTATATAACATATGTTTATATAACTTTCCATGCACAAGTGATAAACAATACAATATAATAATAATATTAATAACAAATAATAAAATTTTACATAATGAAAGATCCTTGTAATAATCGATACGACAATACGACGTTCATCGTTCTTTACTGCGCTGATGAAAGCGCATAATCACTGAGCGATCATGCATTCATTAACAATCGAATGGAAGTGAAAAGCTATCTGTCGACGGAATATATGAGAACGTCGATACCAGCAATGACGTCTGATCATCACCTAAAGCAAAGGACAATAAGGGTGACGATGATGCGAAAAAGAAAGAAAGAAGGGAGGTAGAGAGAGAGAGAGAGAGAGAGAGGGAGGGAGAGAGAGAGAGAGAGAGAGAGAGAGTGTGTGTGTGTGTGTGTTTCCTTCAGATTCGGTCGTCGATCTGTCCCGGCGGATGGGTCGACTAATGAAAGGCAGGATGCGACCGGGACCGGACGTAACGAGCCTGGCATACGCAAACAGTTCCAGAAACGAAGGAAACACCTCACTGTCGCGATCAAGATAATGCTGCTAAGTATAGGCACGCCTTCTAAGTCAGCTGTTAAAAAAGTGATTGTAATAGATAGCTGCTAGACGTCTACAAGGCGTTTTTTATTTGCACTGATTTTTATGACGGTCAAGAATTTTATGCCATGTCATTTTTAATTCTACCAACATAAAAGTCATCAATAATATAAAAGTTTTTAAATTTCAATATCAATTTTTGGATGTTGTTTTTGTATAGAATACAAATCGTTGCCTTAATTTACACACGATTATCCTCGAGATAATTGTTAGGAAAAAAATATATGAAATAAAAATTATTTATTCTGTACCAAGGAAATGTAAAAAACTAGAAAGATACAAAAATCATTTTTGACTCCTTTTTATATATTTGACTCCTTAATATTGGATTTTATTTTTATTATAAGCACAATAACGACGATTCCAATTGTACTAATATTGCGCAGAAACATGAAATTGTAATAGTTACTCCTTCATTTTAATTATAGAATTTATCTCATTTTCTTTTTATATATTTTTGTATATTTTTGTGTGATGTTTCGTCATTGTAGTTGTTAAAAAAATTGTGTTACGTTCTTAATGAAAAGTTCTTATTAAAGGTCAATTTTCTTTTAGGATCAATTTTGATTTCTCCATGTTTCAAGAAAGTACATAAAGGTTCGTCTTTCAAAGTGTTAAGTCAAAATTGAAAAATGACACAAAAAATGAAAAATGTAACATAAATTACGCTATAACATTCAGAAAGAATTTCGATGGAACAACGAGAGTCAATATTCATCAACGCGTTTCTGAGCCGTTACATCAGAGAAGCAAGCGCTATGTACACTGATATAAACCGCGGTAAACGCGCTTGCGGAGTTCATAGACCCAGCTGGGGACATTATCTGGCTCGTCACACAGCTCGGAATATATAGGTGCCAATATATAGACGGTGTAGCGCGTTTTCCGCACACTTTCCAAAGAAATAACTATCATTCGGGAAAGCGGCACGTGGCTGAGATTCGCATAGCCGGCGCTCACGGCGATTCTCACGAGTCCGAGCCTTCAATTTCAATCAACTGCATAAATCTCAGCGGGCCGAGATTCACCGCGCAATCATTCGCAATTATCGCGAACGCGTCATTAAGTCCCACGTCTTCCATCTGGCTCGGCTCGGGAATGAAAGAATCGCCGTTCCGTTATCGCCGCGTCCGCGTTTTGCGTTAGATACGATTTACAATAGTAATCCTGATATAATACGAAACGGAGCTACATTGTTCGATGATACAAAGTATATGTGAATTAAATGTAACGGTGCGGCACCAACACATAAATATAAAAAAATACATAGCGCAAAGTTAAAGGATCGCTGAATTTCTGCAGAAAAATTGTCGATCTTTGAACTGTTATAACTTTGCGAAAAACAAATTGTATAAAAAATATAAAACATTCCAAGGACAAATTATACTTGGTAGAATTTGAGAGAAACGAACGACGACGGAAATGATGATCCATCGGTGGTGATGATTACGTCAATCGCGGAATATTGATCGTTATTGGCAGAAGATCGTCTTCTTCACGCGATACGTGTTGCACGTCAGTGTGTCAGGTATTGGAACAATAGGCCATATCGTTGTCCTCCTCCAGTTCGCCCGCTGTTTGGTTTCCTCCTTCGCGTCTCGCGTCCTGCAAGAGAGACAACTCCTGGCCGATCCTCTCTCTGTCAGTGCGTACTTCACCCTCGTGCACGACACTTATTCGAATCCCGCGAATACGCTCGACGCTCGACGCTCCGTTTTATGTAAACAAATAATTGGTCAAATTGCTCATTCGCAATCTTCGAATTAAATTGTCCAATTAAATTCTCCAATTATTTATCTAACATAAACTTTCTAAAAGGACAATTTAATCACTTAAATATCACGTAAATAGATCGAATTCCGATATAAATAAGAGTAGCTGTTTTTTTTTATCTTTCTCTTTAATCGTTAATTCGAATTTTGTGAGGAAATGAGCGAATGTGATATGCCAGACTCGCGTGGGCCTTAGATTGCAGTGCGTGTCGCGCTTTCGACGAGTAGAGTTCCGTCGGATTGTTAAGGGTTGATGCGAAGAGATCGCTATTCATGATGAATGCCGAGGAAGTTAAAGTGGGCTGCTTTCAAATAGTGCTGGTGCTGCTGCTCGGAATAAACTATGTCATCGTCTCTATGAGCCACGCGTTGCCGGTGTTTTATAATTACACGCCGAAATTTTATTGTCAGGTAAACAGAATTTTTATCTCAATATAGAACAGAACTATATTCAATGCGACGTTAATTTAATGACGTAAGTACATGTAAATTAAATGTAACGGTAGCGTGCCAACATACACTGTAAAAGAAAAAGAGAAAGATGATCATCATTTTTTTGATTAAATTGACTTCAATAAATGTAAAAAAAAATTACACGTATAGTACAGGCACAAATGTAATACGCAATTACATCAGTAAGTCGTCCAGTCGTTGTCAATTATAACCTGACACACACATATCAGTACTATAGTAGATAGCATGCCACTGAGATGTCAGGCTATTATTGACAACAACGACTGAGAACGACCCATTGATGCAGTTGCGTATTAAGTACATTTCAATTGTAGAGTAAAACTGAATGTGTGTAATTTATTGAAGTAAGTTTAATGAAAGAAATACCGAACACGTTCTTTTTGGGTTTTACTATAAATATAGGAAAATAGAGAAAATTAAGAAAGTTGTAAAGATAAATATGAGAAATATAAACAAAATAAGTTAGATTTGGAGAAAATTTATAGTTTATTGTATTTCCCATTCTTATTCAGCTTCTAAATTATAATTACAAGTTATTGAGAAAAAGATTAATTTCGGAAAAAAAGAACTTTGCTGCACATTTCAGGCGAAAAATTCGACGAATAAACGCTACGGCTGCCACGGCGCCGTGAACTCATCGATCGACGCCAACCTAACTTCTGCGGCACCGGAAGCACCGGTCTTCGCGTCCTGTTCCGGCGAATATCGCTTTATGACAGACTTTGCGGAGAACAGTGTAGTCACCGAATGGGGCTTAGTATGCGAAAAGCATTACCTATCTCTCCTAGGCCCAACCGTTTACTACATCGGGGTGCTTCTGGGTGCATGGGTCCTCGGATTTCTAAGCGATCGTATCGGCAGACTTCCCGTCCAAGCGATATGTCTTTATGCACAAGGCACGATGGCGGTGGCACTCTATATTGTACAGGTGAAATAATATGATTCACCGTTTAAAACTAGCTTGGAATAAATTTAAGTATCGATAATCTCGTCTTTAAAAACACAAGAATGTTAATCCAAAAATTGAGACTATTTAATTTACATTAATTTATCCGAATTCTTTAAAGAATGAAATTTTCGACTTCAGAGCTATCCCGTGTTTCTCGCGCTACGTGGTCTTCAAGGAGTGTTCATTCAAGGTCTGCAGAACTCCACATACATTCTCTCCTTGGAATTATTCCCAGCGCGATCTCGCACTCTTGTCGCATTGATTATGCAGATCTTCTGGTCAATCGGCCTCATACTTCTCGCTGCGCTCAGCTACGTGATCCCCGATTGGCGAATTTTACAACTAGCCGTTTCCGTGCCAACTGCCGCTACTGTGTTATACATTTGGTAAGAAAAAAATTCAATCTACGTAAAAATCGAAGGAAATCTACAAGATGCGTAAAGGTGTTTTCAAGATTTAAAATCATTTAAAGTTAATCTTTTTTTTGAGACGAGAGCTATCTAACAAAGTAGCTTACACAAGACAACCTTGTTTTCTAAGGATTTTCAGGATTGTTGAATTCGATTGTGGTTTTAGAATTTCAAAATTAAAAATGACAAAGCAAATTTCAAAAAGTTAGCTTTCCGATTATTTTAAAACTCGATTTTAGGGATTTTATGAGATCACTGAATTCAAATGTCACCTCAGAATTTCAAAATTCTAATGTTATATTAAGCAACTCCAAAATCCCTCTAAAAAGCAACCGGATTTCAAGATAATCCGGTTGCTTTTTTCAAATTTGGTCTGCCGTATCAGATCTTTTATTTTGAATTTTGTACTTTTGACCTCAAATTTGATTAAAGCATCAATATATTTGTAACACAAATACATTTGTAGAGTTATTTGTAGCAGTTTTAAAAATAAAAAAGAGACGCCCGTCTAGAAAGTAGTATTAAATAAACATAAAAGTCTCAAAATCTTCATGTTGTGTGCAACAGGATTATACCGGAATCACCGAGATGGTTGCTAGCTATGGGAAAATTGACAGAGGCCGACATGGCGTTCGAAAGAATCGCCAAGTATAATGAGTGCTGTATCAGATTGCGAACGGAAAACGTCCCTATACACGAGGCGTGTGTGAAGAGTAATACGACACCGATAAAACCGAAAAGGAAGTCGCGAGTTACCAGTCTTGATTTAAAGAAAGCGAGAACTGAGAAAGATCAGCGAGAAGAAGCGGCAAATTTATTAAATGAATCGAAACCGATCGAACAAAAAGTTACAAGTATATACACATGTATAACACATAGTAAACATTTCTCAATAGTAGTGTACAGATATGCGTATAGAGAGTTCATTTCTTTTCAATTTAGAGACACTTGGCACTTTTCGACACTATAATCAGTATTAATAAAATTGTTCTAGAGGAGGCTGCAAAAGCCAATTCGGCGAATCCAGAAAATAGATTTTCTAACGTGCCATTACGTCGAAAGACGCCAAGTTATACAGAAGATTGTGACAAGAAGAATTTGCCTTCAAGTTCGAACTGTGATCGTGAGTCAAGAACGGTTCCACAATCAGGATGCGATCAAAGAATCTCTCTGAAAGCCGCGGAGGAGGTGGTGTTGCGTAGAACGAAAAAAGAAAAAACGAGTGAAAATGAAGAAAATGTGAGAAACAACGTCGAGAAAGAGACTTCAAACAAAATAGATTCAGTGTTAAAGAATACGTCTGAATCATCAACGTTAAAAAAATATGGTTCCATAATGATATGCCAATGGTAAGATTTTTTAAAATTATTTCTCAACTCTCTATTTATGTATCTTAAAAAATTTCTATTTCAAAACAATATTCAAAACAGCTTGCAGCATTCCGTAAAATTTTGTCAATTTTCTTTTTAAAAATACTAAATACATTTCAAAATGTAAAAAAATGCATTGATTAATGTAAGCATTAAAAATACAGAATCGTATGTTTATAGAATTCAATCATATTAATCCGCGCAGAGCAAGAATAAATTTTTAATAAACTTTTCTAATAATTTGATACTTAAATGAGACTAATAAGTACACATCCGAGTAAAACTTACTCTATATTATTACACTATAGCATTACACAGAGGATTACAGAACGAATGAGCTCGAATAATAATATTGTAAAACTTGTTCGCAATGATTTGATTTCATTTAAGGTTGACATCTGCGATGGCATATAGCATACTTGACGATCTGGCGCCGATTTTTCCAATTAACAGACACGTCACGTTCGCCTTAGGTGGAGCTTTTGAGATAGCGGCGTACACATTTACGTATTTCGTGCTATCTAGATACGGTAGACGACTGCCGATGTGTATATACCAATCCTTCAATGGCATTATTTGTATTTTAATTGCGGTTTTCCTCATTTTAACTACCACTGCGCCGTGGATTGGTACGTAAAACAGCCATTGATTCATAAAACAAAAATTTGCTGATTTTTCGATCGGCAATCTTATGATTTATAATTAAAATATTATATGCAATATAAATGACACATGTAACATTCTTATTTCAGATTACGCAAAGACGATAATATTGCTGTTCGGCAGAGTGACTGTCGCAAGCACCATTTCTATCGCTTACCTGTACACTGCTGAAACGTTTCCAACAGTTGTACGAGGTAGTTGCTTAGGCTTATGCGTGGTATTTGCAAAAATCGGCAGTCTAAGCATGCCGTATTTGATATTATCGGTACGCTAATAATTTTTCTCAATATTTACATTTCATTCTTTCTAAAGTTGCGGTATCTTTTAATTCTACTGCTCACAAGATCGGCTAAAATTGATATTAAAAATACAAATAATCTGTTTATCAGGGACAACACATGCCTCTTCCGATATCGTTATTAGCTGTTGGCATAATGTGCCTCATTTCCAGTGCTTTGGCTCTGATTTTATCGGAGACATTGAGAAAAATTCTACCAGATCGAGCGGCTGATGTGGAGAACGTAATTGACGAAAGTAATCGTAAAAGTGATGATATTGATATTAAAAATGACACGAGGGAAAACGATTTGACACAGAGACAAATTTTGAGGGAAAAGCTCTTCTCAGAAGATTGGGTGGATGCTGGCAATGGGATTCTAGTTAATTTTGTGGAGAACAAAAGTACCGAGTAATTGAGCGTTAAGATAAAACGGGTTTGTGTAAAATTGATCGAATTTAATGAATATTTTCAATTCGCTTCTTTTGCGCAAAACATTGCGCCATTCGTCAGTGTAAATTTGTAAAAGATTAGCTTATTTTTATTAACTAGATATATATATATATATCACGTATATCATATAAAAAATCGTATGTTGTGCATGTACAAGAATCAGACGATATTATGTCATAGTTGTGACAACAGATATTTATTATACTTTGAAAAAGAGCACGTGAGAACGTATTAAAGGATATAAGATTAATAATTAATGTCGGAATAACTCGCGCTTTAAACTGGTATACGATAAATAGTAACTTTTGGAATTTATATATGTGTATATATATATACAATAAAAGATTATAATAGCTTACGCGAGTATATATGAATAATTGTGTTATACTATATTTCGAAAAGTGTTAAATCTACATATAGATATATAAATTGTAATAAGACTGAACATTAAAAAAAAATAAACTTTTTTTGACGCAAATGATGAATATTATATGCGAATATTGAGTACTATTTAAGTGAGAAAAAAAAGATATCATTCAACGACATATAAAAACATGAGAAAATTCACGATTTATCACAGTCAAGCAACAAAATTAGTTCTTGCAAGAAGCCTTACCATATTGGAAAAATCAAATGTAGATATAAAATGTAAATTTCATATTAAATTTTCTGTAAACGCGTCAGCTGAACATTATTAAAACTATGAGTTCAAGGAACCTTAGGTTGCGCAATACCGTTATTTTGAGTATTGACATGTTGCGTTTGCTCAGTAGCTGTTTGTAGAAGTCTGGTACGTCGTCGAGTATAATGCTGCCACAAAAGAATTTGCTGATCGTCGATGAATTTTGTACATTGAGCATTAACGACTTCCCTTCTAAAATGCTCGTACTGCAATAAATCCAGGAAATACAAGCACATAGGATACTTCAAATATTTTGCATACTCTGGTTCCTTCCAATACAACAAGTATTTGAGATAATTGATAAATGTTGAGTCTTTGAAATAGCCACGTTGCGCTAAAACTATAATTTTGCTTATAGAAAAATCAATTGCTTTTATAAAATTGATTGAAAAATATAATAACTTTTCTTACTTACAATTTAAATAATTTGGATTAGCAAGGCATTGTACAAATTCCAACTCAACCTGGAACCGTAAACGCTGCTGTTCGTCTGTCTCAGGAACTCCTAAAACATAATTTCAAATTGCATATTAATCATTCATACAAAAATCTTAAATCCATTTTACATCTATAATTCTTAACAAAATTCAATATAAAATTATATTTATAACAAAAAGACAAAATATATGTCAGTAATATGTATTTAATAATATATGTGTATTCCATTTTTCTGTTTTATGTTATATAAAATTATATATAAATTTCAATACCAAATTCTGTCAATTATTGAATTATAAATTGTCTAAAGTAAGCCTTAAACTAGGCTCAAAGAAAAAACTTGTCAAGTCTAATTGCGAAACACACATATCAAATTCATGTTAAAATATTTAATATTAATAACTAGTGACGTTTTGCTTTAATCGTATAAACTAAAGAGTTGTAGTTTGTAGCTATAATTTGAAAAAATTATAATAAATAAACATACAATCACAAGCAATCGGAGTAAGTTTAATTATGACACTGCATAAGTTTGGTTATGATATTGCTTAACATGTACTATGTCAAATAAAGTTAGAATATTTAACATTAATGTTCACACAAGATTTGCTCAGATTGCAACAAATTAAACGCTGGAATTGCAGTTGCAATTTAGAAAAACTGAGTTGTGATAGATAAATAATTTCAAACAATGTACCGTTCATTCCAATAAAAGATGGTTTTCTGCCTTTCATGAGCCCCGGCGGATCATCCGGTCGGTTCATAGTACATAAAATTCAGTAAATAGAAATCGTATATTTGTTATTGTTTTTGTAAGAGAAAAAGCACGAAACAATAAACAATTTCATACACTTTAACGAAACATTACAGTTCACAGCAATTTACAGTAGTCATCAGCGCTGATTGGCGCTGATATCGCTCACAATCTCACGTGTAAATGTCATTGCCAATGTTGCCAACATAACGATACAGCGTTTTTTTTTCCGATCAAGTTTGGAACTAATTCGAGCGCAATTTCACCGCAGTAAATGCAAAATACAAACAAATACAAAGATATTTAGGGAATAAATGGCAGATTAAAATAATCTACACTAAAGTGTAGGTTGTTGTAAAGAATTTTTTTAATTAAAGAATTTGACTTTTTCTTGTATTCTAATATTATTGCATTTTCTTACATGTTCACACACAACTATTTATATAAATCGTTATTTAAATAATAAACTTAATATTAATTTTGAAGTAGATTTGCTTGTTTTATACCTAATCTTTATTAATTGAGATAATTTAAAAATATTTTTACTATTTATGTGATCTTACATGTAATCAAACATAAATTACAATAACTATTACCACAATGCTTGTAATGCAATTTCAGTGATTTTCCAAAATTCTATCAGTTATGATATTAATACAAAAATGTAATAAATAAAATTATGCAACAAGCAAACTAACGCAGTTGTTTAAAAGAAAAATGTTTCTCAGCCTGTAATTTTAATGTCAAGAGTTTAATCATATGTTTAAGTTGGATATCCTGTCAAGCATTTTCCCCGCCTTTAAATGGCTAAATCTGGAATAATTTTACGTAGTACTATTGTGGAGAATCCACGATTAAGAACAAAACTTCTTCATCTCCGCAGACGGATACCTTTTCTCTTAAGTGTGCAAATGTTTTTTATGAGATAGTAATCTTTTTTATTTTATTTTAGCATTATTATTCTGATATTTATAGTATATATATATTTTATGTTCTGTAATATTATAATTTAATCTAATACTAAAAATCACTACTATATAGTAATTTCATATTTAAGTATTAAATACGATATTTCAAATTCAATAAATCAAATAAACTTCTATATATTTGTTACACGTTTATTAAGTGTTTATTAAAGGTGTAACAAATATTAAATTATCAACAGAAGAACAAAAGTCTGCGCTATGTCCCCGATCAAAAGAATTTCTTACGAAGAAGAAAAAAAGAAGAATCCTGAGCTGAAGGATTCGGATATACAAATTCTAAAGGATTGGTGCGCGAAACAACAACATCTACCGAAAATTTTAGACAGTGAATATGTGTTGTTCCTGCATAGTAACTACTATGGCATCGAATCTGCTAAGAATACCATCGAGGCATATTACTCATCCAGAACTCATATGCCAGAATTTTTCTCCAATCGAGACCCACTTGGAACAAAACAGCTGCGAGAGATGTTTACAGTCGCGTAAGTATTTTTGTAATACTAATTATCAAATAATTTTTTACTATTTCTTGTCATATCGTAAATATATAGTCATACATATTTACAAGAATAAGTCAAAACATAAAGGGATATTTAAGGAATCAAACTCTTTGATAAAGTCTATTTACTTTTCATTTACTTTTTTACTTTTCCTCATAAATCACAATGTAACAAAAAAATTTTTTCTTCAAAAATTTCCGTTATACTATTTGGAAAATAGAAAAATTAGAATGAGTTAAAAAAGCTGTCACCAAAATTTAAAAAATGTCATTGAAATTAATTAATTAAAGTTAACGTAACTAATATTTTTAAAGATTGCGGCATTAATAATTAGAAATTATTCGTATGATTTAATTTAATTAAATTAATTAAATCTCTTTGAAAAGGTCGACGATAACATTAACGACGCAGACGAAGGAGGGATATAAGCTTATTTACGCGAGACTTATAAATTACGAGCCCTCACGCTTTGTTTACACCGAAATAATGAAATACTTCACCATGGTAATGGATTTATGGTTGTACACCGAAGGGACTGCGGAAGGTCATGTGATTATTATCGACATGGAACATGTTACCTTTGCTCATGCCGGCCGTCTTAGCCCCATAGCAATTAAAAAGTATCTCTATTATCTGCAAGAAGCTATACCAATCAGACTTAAAGGTCTGCACTTTATCAACACCAATGCGGTCATGGATATCATTTTGGCGATGATGAAGCCATTCATGAAAAAAGAGTTGATGGAAGTGGTGAGAACAGTGCAATTTTACTATGAAAAAAGAGTCCCAATAAATGAAGAACAAAATCTTGTCCTTTAATGAATTCTAAATTGATTTTTGATATGATAATTGATTTGATATTAAAAATTGGAAGATTGTGACGAGATAAATAATATTTTCTCTGAAACTAGATAAATTTACATTTTCGGCAATAAATTTATTTCTATCATTTTTTTAAATTGATTCAATTTGCATTAATTTGCAGTTACATATTCATACGACACCGAAGGAAACACTGTCAAAATTCGTACCTTTAGAAGCATTTCCGTGCGACATAAGCTTACCTGGAAAAGCTAGACCGCTGAAGGAATTGCACGAGGAACAATTGAAAAAACTGGAGGATCATCGTGAATGGTATTTGCAGGACGAAGTTGCTGGACGCGTGAACGAAGCTTTAAGAGTGGGGGAAAACAAGACGATGGATCTATTTGGAGTCGAAGGAAGTTTCAAGAAACTTGATATAGATTGATCAGATTGACCACCTTCCCATCGAGAACGTTGTTCCAATAACACTTTAAAATGATGTCTTAGAATCTATTTCAAGATTGTCTGTTAATCAGTATCTGTTTTAATTATAATTGCATGCATACTTTAATTTGCATTTTTAATTACAATTGAATACATAAATTTTATATGCAATAACCCTGAAAAGAAAAAAAAATGTTAATGTTATAGTAACTAAGATAAAATATCAATGCGAGTTAATAATGTGTTTATAAAAGTTAAAAAAGTTGAAAAATATTTTCCAACAAAGTAATATGTAATTAACGATAATCACAACTTGTAAAAAACTAAGAAACATTTAACAAATTAATCTACTTGCTCATAATAACAAGAAACATTAATATAACTTTTTAATTTAGGTATAATTATACAATTTGCATATTTCTAGTATGTTATTATGTGAACATATCAAAGACGCTCACAGTATAATACAACGTATATAACGTCTGATATAAATGTTGCATTCCAGAATCGCAATGTCATTCCATATACGTCGTTACGCCTGTGAGAATTCCATCTTATATAAGCGAAGTTTTACTGCCTGAGGGATTTTTTAAACTTTGACCTCCTAATTGCAGTACGATATTTACGTGCAGTCTGTCAAGCGCGACATTGCTGCAAAATCGAAAGAAGAACTTGTTTTGATCTTCTAATTATATCTTTAATTGTTTGACACTTTCGTAATTATGAATTTTAACAGAGCAATTATACATGCCACGATGCATACGTAATGCATTGTAGCGATTGCACCAAGCGCCAAATCATTTGAATTATTATATTTTATCGATTGTTCTTTTTTTACTTCTTTTGGACTTTAACATATGTATATTACGACTATATGCACTAATACGATCTCTGTTCGACATTTGTGAGGTAATCAATGAGGTAATCATTCCTGTATTGAACGGCATTCTCGGCGCAATAAATATCTGGACATTCTTGTTTAGAAATCAGTAAGTGATTGGCTATCGTATAAAAGGTAGTGATATTTTACGTACGCTACATTACGTACGTTTGATTATAAAACAATTCCACCTGTAAGTAATTTAATTTTTTCTCTAAATAGAAATATTGTTCTAATTTTCACTGATTGTATTAACTAAATGTGAACGACTTAACTTGTAAGTTACTGTTTAAAAATATAAATAAAGTAAAATTATGGAAAGTCAATATACCTATTTATTTATTTTAATTAAAAATTATTAAATGTAAATAATATATGATATTATTATTTTATTAAAAACTATATTATTATTTTAATTATTAAAAAAGCGTAAGCTGCGATAACGATAAAAGTGACCTATGCAATTTTGAATTATATGATTTATAGTAACATGCTGTCATTATTGTAAAAACATTAAAAATTATTTTTAAAATTGTAAAACAAATTTTTACAAAAAATAAGAAACATTTTATAGACGTTCAACATTGAGCAATTTTTAAACCGCTGTAACTCAGTAAAAAATCATCGCAGACCAAAAATTAAAAAAAGTATTTTAAAGTTTGAAGTTTGCACCTTTACGTGCTTTAAGCCATTTTTCGAAAAAATTTTATCCCGAAAAAGAACATTATTTTGTTCTTTAAAATTATGTATCTTCAATACTTGATGACAAATGTTTTTCAAAATTCATGACCAAGTGGCAAAAACTACGACTCTTTATCTGCAAAACGCGTATTTAAAAATGTCTCAACAATTTTTCTCTGAGCTAAGTTACGTGACTTTGAAGTAATAAATTCAACTATAGTCTTTATTCAAAAACTTTTGACTGGCAGTACATCCACGTTTCCATTCTCTTCTTTCTACTTTTTAGATTTAAAAATTAAATACCTTTGTTCACCTTGACTTTTTGCATTTTTTAAAGGATAAATTATAAATTAAAATAAATGCAAATTTTTTAGATCACACAATTAACTTGCTTGACAACGATGTCGAGACTACCACCTCGATATGTTCCTCTAGAGGTAGAGCTCAAACGAAATCTGGAACTCAAGATGTCGGATCTACAGATATTGAAGGATTGGATGGATAAGGAACCTCATTTGCCGAATATAAATACGACATATTTACTTTTTTTCTTGTATAGTAATTATTACCATTTAGAACCGACTAAGAGAACAATAGACAACTTTTACACCTTGAGAACACATACGCCGGAATTATTCGCCAACAGAGATCCGCTTGCGTGGAAGGAACTGCGAAGAGCCTTTACCGTTACGTGAGTTTTCCTGTTAAACTATTAAGATCAAATATTTGTGATTAAAAATTCTGAATATATAAGAGAAGGAGCTCATTCTACGATAGGGCGATCGTGCCATTAGAGCAGAAAACCAAGGAAGGATACATTATGACGTACTGCAGATTTCTGGATTCAGATTCGAGTAAATTCAATCATAACGAGTGTGTCAAATATTTGTTTATGACATGTGAGGTGCAAAATCTGGTAAACGGCACTTCCAACGGACACATCATGATTCTCGACGCGACGGGACTGTCCTTTGGCCATGTGTCTCAGATAAATGTAACAATTTTGAAGAAAATCTTGTTCTACATACAAGAAGCTGCTCCCATTCGATTAAAAGCCATACACATACTGAACACCATGCCAATGGTAGATGTGCTGCTGAATATCGTTAAGCCCTTTGTAAAAGCAGAAATTCTGAAAATCGTAAGTCAGCAATGTGTTATCGCGTAGTAAAAATATTTTGTTTTGTCTATTAACGAATAAACATTTGCTGTTTCAGTTGCATTTTCATTCAGACTTGGAGACCGTGAAAAAATTCCTGCCGATCGAGGCTCTGCCGAACGAGAGCGGCGGAAAAGCGGGACCTGTCGCAGAAATCGTTGCCAAGCATATCGAATTACTGGAAGAATTTCGCGAATGGTTTCAATACGACGAGACTGTCGGCCGAGTAAATGAATCTTTGCGAATTGGCAAATTTCATAATGCCGATAGTTTATTCGGTACAGATGGTAGCTTTAAAAAACTCGAGATAGATTAATGTTTCATCAAGATAAATTAATCCTCGAAAGATAAATTGTTATTCATGTAAATGTTATTTGTCTGCCAAATGCTGAAAAACATCTTATTTTTATTATATCCAATAATTCTTTTCATTAATTGTGCATTGTATCCATTATTCATACACCTATACATCCATTAATGCACTAATACATCGTGAAGGCAAAGAGGAAAGACAAAATTTGTAATATAATTTATAAAATTAATTTGTAGTACAGGTTGTATATAAAAATATATTGTTCCTAATAATAATTGTCATGTTGTTGTTATTGCAATTGCTGCTGAGCTACTCCGGGAATTATTATAATTTGTTATGTCTATGTATACATGTTTATTAATACTCAATTAAATTTATAATTAAGTGTTTCTCCGGTTGTTTGTGCCGTAAAGACGCGCTACTGGAACCTTGACGTGTATGTGCGGTTGCATATAATGCCCAGAGAAGTTACACGTATCGTAACGCATAATTTCACGCACGCTCCTCTCATTATTACGATTGGTTTATAATACAAATTAAATTCATACACCTGCGGTAAAAAAATACGCTTTTAAGTAGTTCTTGCCAAGCCTTTGAATTGTTCGGTCTATCTTTACTAGCTTAAAAAAAAACGCATTGAATATTCAGACAGAAAAATAGCAGTAATTTTTAATCAGGTAATTTTTAATTCATAATATTAAATTAATTGACTCTCTATTAATGTTTAGCTCGGATACATTAATTCATATACATTATGTAGTGATAAACGTTATATTTATCGATGAAAAAATGGGTGGAATGTGAAGATCTGGATATTTAAAATATTTTTTGCAAGTTGTACACAAAAATTCCGTAATTTAAAAATTGCACAAGTATAGTACTAACGTTCTTATTAATTACTAATTTAGAATAATGTATTACGTATAGCATATGTTTCGAACCTCGCGCACATCTAAGAAATAAACATACGGATCAATTAAAAATCAACTTAAGTTGTAGACTTTTTAAATAAAATCATAAATATTTGTATTAGCATTTTAAATATGAGCAAAGCCGGATGTACAATTTTGTGGCCCCTAAACTATGATCTTAAGGAGGCCCCCTCTTATTAACAAAAATACATTTTTTTAAATCTTTTCTATACTAAAGAGGCCCCCTTATAATGTGAGGCCCCTAAGCTGTAGCTTATCTAGCTTATGTGTAGATCCAGCACTGAATATGAGTGACCCATTAACAAAAGTCCAGTTGAGTGGTAGACTTTTCTGAAAGATTTGTGCCAAAAGTGATAAGAGCCAAAAGTTAAAATATCGGAAAACGGTGAAACATGAGTTCAAAGTTTTCGAAAAAGCAACTTTTCGGAATGGGTGTGGATCCCCCCCTCTACGCCCTGGGGGGCGAGGAGCAGAATAGGGGTGGAAAATGTTAAATGGCACTATGGATCAAGTGGGAATCATTTAAAAGGGCGTTTCAAGACAAGAACAATGATTTTTTTAAATGTTTACTACAATTTTCCAGTCAAAAGTGGTGGTGGATCAAAAAAAAGGGGGTGAACTTTCGAAAAGCTATCACCTCCGATTTTATATTCAGCCTAAATACTTATTTTATCTAGTAAATAATATTCTTAAATGGATTTTGGCGCAAATGCCCCCTCCGCCCCCAACTCTCTCAAAGATTCAAAAATAAAACTGTTTTTGTTAATTATTTCAGAAAGTATTCATTGTACGGAAAAAGTTGTCAAACATAAAATGAAGCCCATAAAAAGCTCTACAAATAATGTCTTATACATATTTTACCTAACTTTAATATTTTAGTCGTTTTAACAATTAACAGTCGCCATATTGGATCCGCCATTTTGAATTTTGCAATTTTGACAACAGATTCGAATTCAGCAGCCCAAAAAACTTTAGGATATCAAGTTTGTACATACATATATGATACATTACCACGTTTGGCACTTTTTTTTGTACATATATGATACATTACCACTCAACTAGTTAAATCCACTTGAAATTTTTTTGGCGGGGAAAAAATTTTATATAATTTTTATCATTCAAGTTATCAATAAAAACTTTTTTTTTTTAATTAAAAAAATGTCATTGTATAAATATAAACGTATCAGTGGCGGATTTTAGGAAAAAGGCTCGATCCGCAAACGTTACAAGGAGCCCATTTTTATGCAGATAGGGCCCGTTTTTAACACTTATTAACGTGTTATTCGCGTATTTTAACGAATTTCGATTATGTTGAATCTGATGACTAATGACTAAATTTGCTCTCAAAATTTCTGTCTTTCCCATTTGTAGCTTTTAAAATTTGTCGCCTACTCCAAATGAAACCAATCTCAATCAGTCTGAAAATGAAACATAGCGAGCTGATACTTCTCATTGCGTTTATGTTCTTTGATAGTAGAATTAGGAGTACCGTAGTCTATTTCACGATTTTACGCGTTACACGCCACCCCGGGTTACTTTAAATGTTAATAAATAATTTTTTTATGGAGGCCGGAGAGGCGGGGGCCAAATGTCGATTTGCGGACCGTTAAATCCGCCACTGGTACATATACAATAATGACACTGATATATTACGTAACAATTATTATAAAATACATTTTTTAGAGTACAGTGCTACTAAATTTTAATAATGCTGAAAACTATTACGTTGGAAGAGGAAATGAAGAAGAATTCGCAGCTGAAGCTATCAGATATACAATCGTTGAGAGAATGGTGTGAAAAACAACCGCACCTACCAATAATTGAGGACGTTTTTCTCGCAATGTGTCTTCATAGCAACTACTATCGACTGGAACCAACAAAAAGCACAATCGAGAATTATTACACAACTAGAACGCATGTGCCGGAATTTTTCTCTCATCGGGATCCTCTCGGAGGAAAGAATCTGCGACAAGCTTTCAAAGTGGCGTAAGTCCGTAATTAATATTCATAACTAAATATTTTACATTTTTGGTATGGCATTAATTTAGAAATTTATAAAATCTCGGGCGATTAAGATCAATTTGATTAAAAATATACTTTTTAAAGTGTGATAATCAATATTTCTACCAACATTTTGAATATATTTATGTATCAATTAGTTAAAATAGATTGATTTGATTTAAAAAAGGGCTAACCTTCCTCTGAAAGGGATAACGAAGGATGGGTACAGGATCATGTACGGTGCATTTCTCGACACTGATGCTTCTCACTTTGTCTACAACGACAATGTCAAGTATTTTTTGATGGTATGCGACGTGTGGCTTCTGACGGAGGGCACGAATAACGGTTACATTTATTTCGCCGACGCTAGCGCACTATCTTTCGGTCATGTCGCACGAATGAGTCCGTTGGGACTTAAAAAATATTTATATTACATTCAAGAAGCGGCCCCGATACGTCTGATGGGAATTCATTTTATTAACGCACCACCTGCCATGGAATTGTTAATGAATATGATGAAACCTTTTATGAAAAAAGAAATGATAGATATGGTAGGTACCTTAAGTTAAAATTCATACCCAGGTAGCAAATCGTGCAGAAGCTGTAATTTCAGATTTACTCTATGATGTAGAGAACAATATAATTCTTCAACTTTCGATCAAATTTAAAATAACACGTGAGAAATTCATAAATTCCACACTAATTTTTAATTATTGACTAATAAATTGTGAGTGTCCAATTTTGATTTTGACCTCCCTATTTCACGCTATAACAAATTTTTCTCTTGATTGACTCTTTTAGATCCATTTTCACTCATCGTTGAAAAGTGCTTCAGAGTACGTTCCGGTTGACATACTACCGAACGAAGTGGGTGGAAAAGCAGGTTCCATGCATAACTTAGCTGAAGTACAAGTGAGAAAGCTCGAAGACTATCGCGAATGGTTCTTGATGGATGAAGCAACCAGACGCGTTAACGAGGCGTTGCGAATCGGCAAGAGAAAATCGGCGAGCGATTTGTTCGGTGTGGAAGGTAGCTTTAAGAAGCTCGAAATAGATTGAACAAAATTTATCTAATTTAATGCAAATTTTCTGGTTGATTATTCTGCTCGCAAGCAGTATCTTTTCGGACTTTTTAAAAATATATTTTATTTAGAATGCACTTTATAACGTACATATGAAACTCTACAGATTTAAAAATAAACAAATTTTTTTCACACAAAAAATGTGATATTTGCTAGAAACTAATAACTCTTCCAAAATTTATGTAGAATATCTCAAAATTTTTACAATTTAACTATAGGCTTAATTGTAAAGATTCATAATATGTACTATTGAAAATTAGAAAAGGAATTTCAATAAAAGATATTTTTGTCAAATAAAAATCTAATTAATCAAAAATCTGTAATTAAAAGAATATCTGAACAGGTTTTGCGATATTTTGTACATAAAATTATCTAACTTATGATATAACATAAGCGAATAAACAGCATTAATGATATCTAATCATGTTATCTTATCTAAAGTACCTAATTATTTCTATTGTACGTATAAGATGTTATGTACGTAAGAAATCAAAGATCAAGGAAAACCAGTAACATAGCAAAATATTAAAAAATGAGTTTAAAGTTTAAACCTGCAAGCGTCTGTTAATTTATACCTGCAGCATTTATAACAGAAATGCCCAACTAATCAACCGCGACGTGTTTTTTTATAAATCTTGTTCACATTTTGATTTTTACTTTGTCTCATTCTATTATAAAATTTATGTTTCTAATTTTAATATTTATTTTGTTCCTATTTATTTGTTTATATTTTGACACTTAGTTTGTCTCTACTGATATGTTTAATAAACGTTGAAATTAAATTCTAATTTTATATCTTTCTCCCGTGGATAGAGCGACATAGATAGAGCGCGAGATCGCTCTATTAAAAAAAGTAGCTTGCATGTACAAAGAGATTGGGCAGCATTGATTTATAAAATATTCATTATTCTTACGGCATAGTGCAATGTCTGAAATGTGATACAGCGTAATGGTCCATCTGACAATCTGACTAAAGTAAAAAAAGAAAAATTTAATTTAATTTAATAAATAATGTTATTATCTACATACTATCGACATGTTTTTTTAAATAAAAACCATTACATGTAATAACATTACTTAACCTGCTGTCAATATTATTCGTTAGCCCACTTTTTACAAAATTAATTATTGAAATTCCAAATTTTTATAAACAGGTATGTACTGGCTAAAGAAAATCAGCTTTTTGACAACATAAAGTGAAGAAAGCTACATGAATCCATACAATGTCTTCAATAAAGTGCATTACTTGGGAGGAAGAAATCAAGAAAAATCCTGAGCTGAGGATGTCGGATATAAAGATTTTAAAGGAATGGTGTGAGAAGCAATCACATTTATTGAAATTTAAGACGTGCAACTCACCATAAAGATTCTACTTATCTAAAGATTGTATCCGATTATGCCATTTGTTGTAGCAATTTAATTGTCACGATAAATTGCCGCAACTTTTTTATTATCATACTACGCAATTTGTAGAAGCAATTTGATTGCAGTGATTGTACAAGATTTAGATCCAGTTCTAAATCTAGCAACTAGTTGTATGCAATTATAGTAATATTTTTGTTTTTATGTATTTGCTAACAAGACAACTGTATTTTATGTGTCATATCCAAGTCATATCAACATAATCGTAGCATTTTATTTTGTAGTTGACAATAGTTTAGTTTACATTTAAAACTTGTGTCTAAAACTGTTAAAAACTGTTAAAAACTTGTTACTTTAGTTGCATGTAGTGTGATAAGTCACAAAAATAATTGCTGCAACTAGTAAGTTGCGGCAATTAAGTCGCTGCAATAAGTTGCATGAAAAATTGTATAGTCTGATGCTGGCTCTAGAGCCACTTTTTCCAACGTCGATTAACGTTAACTGACGGTTTCAACGTATTAATAGAATTACTAACATAAAGAATAAAATATTTTCATTAAAGATAACAAAAATTTGAAATCTTTTTCTTTTTTAATGATGATATTTTATTCATATTGGCAATTTTCGACAAATTGGAATCTTCGATTAAAGTTAACCGACGTTGGAAAAAGTGACCCTAAAGGCCGATTGTTCCAACTTCTTGGTAAGTTTACCCGTCGTTATTTATTAACAAATATCAGTAATCCTTACTCGATGATTGGAATACCAAGTAAAATTACCTCTTGGTAATAACAATAGAGGTAATTTTATACGGTTCAATCATCGAGTAAGGATTACTGATAGTTATGAATAGGTAACTGGTGAGTAAACCTACCGAGACGTTGGAAAAATCGATTAGTCAAATAATTTAGCAACCAAATTTTGTTCGAGAATTCAGACTAATTTTTAGTATAGGTAGATACAGGTAGATACACTATTTGTGAACTCAAATTAGTACGAGTCGATATATAATAGACCCGCTTCTATCAACTTTACCTAATCGGCAGTTTAGCAAACCCTCAGTTAAAAACCTGAACCTGAGTTAAAACCAAAGGTAATGCTGATTGGTTTTTACCACGATTACATCGAGAACGATTAACTAAACCTATACTACATATATGTCTCATTACGCTGAAATTATTTAAAGACAGAACGCTGATTGGTTTAATATTAGAGACCCTAGAACTAGGATCTCTAGTCTAGCATTGATTCTGATCTCTAATTGAAAATAAAAACTATTGATGTTATTGACTTTAAATTGACTTCTATTATTGACTATTATTGAATTCTTAAATCACGTTGCTGGAAACGGCCCAATATAAGTTATTTTGTGCATATAAAATAATATTTTAACTTTAATAATGAGTAATATAATAAACGTAAACGAGTGTTAAATTTTTCAATAGCAGAAAAAAGTATTTTGATCTATTTAATTTTCAAATATAAAAATGTGATAGAAAACAAGAAGTCTGACATGGTAACTTCAAAAAACAGAGAAAAATATTGGAAAATAATAGAAAATTTGTTTAATAGTATGTCCTCGACCGAATTTAGAACATCAGAGAATTTAAAAAATTGCTGGGACAATTTAAAAAAAACTAGAAAATTTTTTGCCGATGAGAAATTTCAATTGTATAAATGTATGATGTACAGGTAATATTTTTATCTTATGTTTTTTGTGGAATATTACATATTATCTGCTATGAACATAATTTGAGAAATATATATATAATTAAGATATAATTTAAACTTGTAATTATAATTATAAAATAATACTAAAGAACTTACTTATTTGCCAAAAATTCTAACTCTTTTCTAATATGTTCCAATATTAATAATACCAAATCTTTACTTAATCTAAATCGCATTTTAAATTCAACGTTATTTAATGTTTCAAAATAATTAACTCACTGTTTAAATCTTTTTCTTCTTTGTTCAAATTGTTCAATATTTTTATCATCAGAATCTGAGGACCACAAAGGATTAAAATACGCCATCATATCAACAAAATAATAATTATTATTTTTCACAATTATTTTTAATGTATCTGTAACGTGTCAACCACTGTGAATGAATGTTGAGTTTGAGTTTTGACAATATGATATCCAATAAAGATCAGGATACATATTTGAAGATATGATATATAGAAATAAAAATAGAGTATTGCTAGTAACATTTCTTAAAATCGGCGTTTAATTATTTTAAACGGTCGAGATCGATCGTTTAACTTAAACTCGGTTTACAGATATTTAAACGCCGTTAAATAATTGGTAGAAACCAATATTCAGGTTAAGTTAAGATAACCGAATGTCACTAGAGTTTAATTTCTTAAACCACGTTGGTTGAAACGGCCCATAGTAGAGGGCCATGGTGATAGTTTGGATTTTTCGTTACCTGACACAGCATACCTATCAGCATTTTTCTTCTGGTCGTTATCGTGTAAGGACGTATTTTTTTACGAGAAAATTTCCGTTCTGTATAAGTACGCAGTAAGTAAGTTTACGTATATATTCTTTTCATTGCGTGTAATGCAACTTCTTTTTTCGATCTTATTCGATCTTTTTTTATTTTCTTTTTTCACGTATAGCTGCGATATAAAGAATCAGAATTTTTTAGAGTCACAAAAATGACAAACTTTCTATTTACTTTGTTGCATTATTTTGTAAGTACTGCTGCCTTGACGATTTTACTTTATAATGTGCAAAAAACGTGTAAAATTAGATCGTACATAGTTTATGGTACAATTGTGAGTATTGTGCTTTATAATTAAAATAAATGAAAATAACAAATCAAAGCTCTTCTATTTGAAAATACTAATAAATAGGGTAAAAAGCCAAAGCAGAGGTTATCATACTTCCAAAAATTTATAATTAATTAAAATATATCATATAAAACGTAATAAACATTTCGACCATAAAACTTTTATCGAGCGATTGTGAAACGATACACATCTCCGAGAGTGATTTTGTTTATTCAGGTTTGACTTATTCAGATGAGTTAATTTAATCGTTAATACAGATTAAATTTTTAAATTTCAGTTTAGTTCTTGACACTTTAGTTTTACCGTTTGACTCTCATTTTACCGTATTGGATACTGATATTTGGTTTTTTCTGTCTTCGATCGAACGACACGCTCACATCAAGGAATTTAAACCAAGTTAATTTGCATACAAACTTATTTTATAACCATACTGATCAAAATCCATGACCGAAACGTTTATATTATATTTTACATGATACGTTTTAATTAATTATATATTTTTGAACATGACAACCTTGCTTTGACTCTTTAGTTTATTATATTCTATTTATTTTTATTTATATATTTTTTTAATTAATCCATTATAATTAGTCCCTATGTTAATCTGATTCAGTCAACGGTATTCATATCACAAATATTTAAAGAGACGAAACTTTGACAAAGCATACTAATGACAGTATTGTGACTAGTGACAGTTTGATTTCTCTTTTTAAAGCAAAACATAATTTCATACTAACTAATCTACATGTAAATATTTTATAAACAAAAAAGTAATTATTATCATCGCTCATAAGCATTAGCTTTGTTTTAAGACACTATTCAACAATAATCACCTGGCCAGATGTAATTTTGTTCGTGGTGTAAATTGCACTGCGTCTTCTTTATTATCACTTGCTAACAATCGTGCGTATGCGACTTGAATCATGCCGACAAGTTCCAAATTAACAATATCGTACATTTTTTTCAGATTCACGTAAATGCTGTGTGTTAATGTCACGCAATCTTCGGCACGCTAATGACAAATGATATTTTTACATGATACTTGTGCATTTCTTAAAGTCATTCTCATAGATTTTGTTGAGACATAATTCTTCTTTTGTGACAAACACTTTTAACAAAATACGCGTATAATCACGTCCACAATATGAAAGTACTGGCTAAACAAACAAGTACTGGATAATCGTGTATAAATACAAATATGTGTAAATTCCTACACCCACCTAACCCACACGTGCTACACACGTATTCGAAGACATTACATATTAAATCACCACGAGGTTTCGAAACTCTAGCTATACATATTAATTCCGTAGATTAATCTCAATGTTTTTAAATATTAACTTCTAAATAATAATTTTTAAATGTGCTGATAAATGTTTATAGATTTGTGTGCAATCTATCACGATATGCATATTAATGCATACTCATCTTCTATTGATGTGTTATTTGTAGAATTTGTGTTATATGCATGAAGAAATGAAACATATGGAGATAACGTAACATTGACTTGTACATTAATACCTTTTAGTTATTTCTTTCAAGTCTCATTATTCATTGCGTTAAATTTGCATGTCAGCGGTTCGCTAAATTGCACGTCTTCCGTTTCTGCTGATTGATGAAACTATGTTTTTATAAAATGAATTTTCATGCCATTCCATTCTGAAAATAATATGTTACGTGCGTTGAAACGTACTCAGTTGTCACGCCACATACACTGTATTGCCGTTTTGGCTCGGCATAGCTTAAAAGTTCTATTATATCCAAGGATTTCAATCAGTGCCTTTCAAGACGCTGACTCAAAACACTGAACAAGTTCTTCACATTAACAACACGTGACTTCTATATATTTTGAATACCACTATCCAATAGGTGCCAGCAGTTTTGTACTAATAAAATCAGTTTATCATTAACGGTCGATGAGTGTATATAAATTGAAAATAGGTTTGATTCGCTGATATAGTTTGCTGAGAACTTTATTATTGAAGGCATTAATTTGAATTCAGATTTACTACTAAGTAAACGATGGCTTCGATAAAACTTGTGACATTTGAAGAGGAATTGAAGAAAAATCCAAAAGAGTTGAAAGAAGATGATGTACAGATGCTGAGAGAGTGGTGTAAGAAGCAACCGCATCTGCCAGAGATATCGGACAGCGAGTTGGCCTTATTCTTGCATAGCAATTATTACCGACTCGAACCGACAAAAACTACTATCGACACTTTCTTCACGGTGAGAACCCACGTGCCCGAATTCTTCAGCAATCGAGACCTTATTAACAACAAGGAGCTCAAAAAGGCCTCGCTAACAGTGTAAGTATAGTTGTGATGTGCTTTTTTCATTATTTGTTACTCACGGCACTTTCATATAATTAATAAATGCAGCGATATCTCTTTTTCGGAAATTTGACAGATAAAGTAAAGACGTTTTTATTATCGATAGGACACAGCATATTTTGGAAGGAACTACTAAAGAGGGCTACAAAATCATCTTTGGACGATTGATTGACAACGATCCATCGCATTTTATTTACAATGACGTCATGAAGCTGCTAAATATGGTGATTGATTTGTGGCTCTACACCGAGGGCACGTGCGACGGTCATGTGATATTATTCGACATGAATAATGTGTCTTTTGGTCACGTCGGCCGTTTGAGCCCGATGGGTCTAAAGAAGTTCCTCTACTATCTGCAGGAAGGATTGCCAGTCAGACTGAGAAGCTTCCACTTTATGAATGCTTCTCCGGTAATAGATATCATCCTAAATATGATGAAACCTTTTATGAAGAAGCAACTAATGGATATGGTAAGATCAAATTTGTCACATACGCAGTATTCAAAAATTTAAATCACATAAAAGCAAGAGATAAGATTTCTATCCGATATACCTAAATTGCTCTACGAACACTGCATTCGTTTGCATTTCGCAATTTACGAACAATTCTACTATTAAATGTATCGTCCAAATTACTTTCTACTTGAATAATCTTTTTTTCTTTTAAATATATAAATAAGAAACAATTATATATATTTTATATATTTATATTGCGACGCATATAATATATATTCTTATTTATTTTCTCGAAGAAAATTTAGTTAAAACAGAGTTATGTGAATTTCAGTTCCATATGCATACTTTAACTGACACCTTGGAAAAATTCATACCGCTCGAAATTCTTCCGAATGAAGCAGGTGGTAAAGCAGGTCCAATCATGGAATTACACGCCAAGCAGATGAAGCGGTTGGAGGAACACATTCCTTGGTTCAAAGAGGAAGAAGCCAATCATCGCGTCGACGAATTGCTGCGACCTGGTAAGGCAAAGTCAGCTACCGATTTGTTCGGCGTTGAAGGTAGCTTTAAAAAGCTTGAGATTGATTGATCGAATATCACATCAGATTTGATTTTCTCGGTCCACGGTAATTGCATGCTCGGTATTTTTAGAATATAACAACCCAATTTTTTAAATTATAACAGTAATCTACTATCAGCACAGCTAAAATTATTTATAAATTTCAATGGCATTAATTGCAGAATAATAATAACTACAATTGTGCTGTTGATTAGATTAGATATGTGATGGCAGTCACAATTGCCTGCACAGGCTATAAGAATTATAATAATTATATTAATTCACCTTTTATCTTATTTTTATGTCACTATTATATTAATGTATTACTTCATTTTTGGTAATCAGGTTTTTTTATTTACTTTTTGTAGTCACATCTCAACAAAATCCTGCAGACACTTATCCTAGAGAACTCATACTTTATCCGTTTGAAAACCGTAATCGGACAATAATATAAAAATGAGTTAAATTGACGAAGTAATGAAAATGAAGTAATAAAAGTGAAAAATAAAAATTAATGAAATGAGAAATGAAGTAAATTGTGAAAATGAAATTTTAGCGTTTTTTATTAACTGCAGGCTTAAGGAGAGGTTGTTTTTGTTTGAAATAATAATAAAAAAATAATATACATGTGATGTGACATTTTAACACAACGCGAAGAAAATGTCGCGATTCTGATGAATGAATGGTTAATAGGAAATGTATTGTTATATTGTAAACCAAACTTACTGCACTAGCGCATGAGACGTTAACATTTGTGATTAATGTAATCAATTACTTTTGTCAAATATAAGCAATGTAATTAATAATAATGTAACTAATAAACGTCCATTTGATTTCAATAAACAAATGCAAAAATTACTATCAGTATAAACAATAATTTATATCAACAAGTTGAAAACCAAAATGCATTCTTTTTTTATTATATTTAGTTTTATAATAAATGCAGAAAAGTAGTACTCTATGGATTACTACTACATTAAATGCATGAATAGGAAAAACGAGTTGCGCATTCTTTTCAATAATTCATAACATTTGCGCGATCGACTGATTTATCTTCATGCATAATAAATATAAATATGAATATTATTTACATATATATTTTTAATGACCTCATTTGATGTCCAATGTGTTGTAAGTATTCGTCATATAGAAATTGTATCGGTGTGGAGAAACCTTTACAATACCTCCTTTTCGACAATCTCTTATAACACTTTCACCAACGGACTATCCTTGCAGTAAACGGTAAAACGCGCATGTGAAAATATCGGCAAAACAACTTGGATTTCTTGATTTCGTAATGAAATACGTTATTGTAAGTGTGTATAATTTTACTACTAATTAATAAAATAAATATTTCAAAGAGGTATCGACATCTCTGATGTGTAAATGTTTTTTACTCTAAATTTCTATATGTAAATAAATTTTTTAGTGTAAATTTGTTGAACAAATACAATAATATACTTTATTATAGTGCTTTGAATAAGTCACTTAAATAAAAAAAATTCTCGGAAATATAAAATTTTTATGATAGGATAACCAGTTTATTTCACAATTTGCTTGCGTGGAATTTTACTGATGCACAGAAGTGCTGTTGTATTATTTGTAATATAATGAAAAGTATTAAGTTTTATTCGCGTTCTCTGCGTAAATTTTTCGTAACAATAAATGGATACATCGTTAAAATGTCCAAGAACTTGATGCTTTATTTGATCAATGAAAGTGTTATGTAAAATTATGTAGTATGCAGCGTGTTATCAATTAAAATATGTTCTAAGAATAAATTTTCTAAAAAATTTTGTGTCTGGATCAAATCAACGTTATTTCGAAAAAAAATTTAAGATCTAACTATTACAGTCAAAATATTTAACAAAAATTATCGCTATATGTTCAATTTATTACCGTTATATTTAAATTAGATTACCGTTATATGTTAAATTAGATCGCCGCTGTCTTGATTAATATTTGCTTGGCGGACGTATTACATATTTTACCAGAATATTCGACAACGACAATACCGTCACCTCCAAGACCGTACAGTTTTCAATACGAGGCAGGACGATATCCGGGACACATCGATCGCGTTCATCAAGAAATCGGAGATGGTGTAGGAACTGTTTACGGTAATCGCAATTATATGTCGTTCATAATAGAAGTCTCAACCCAGATAGCACGTATGTCTAAAAGACATTTAAAAAACAAAAATATTTTTTCGACGACTTAACCAGCTGAATACCCCGTGATTTCTACGGGTAGTGTATATGTATCAATTTTACGTATACTGCGATTTTAGGGGTAGCCTTTATTTTTTTTACTTCTTCTGGGGATTCTCCTAGGAAATTGTAATACCTTTTAAAAATATCCAAATTTTTGATAGACATTATTGCTATTATTATTTGAAAAATACATTTCTTATACCGTGTATATATTAAAAAATTACTCATTGTCAGCTGAAAAATTAAAAACGTCCTTTGAATGCGTATTGCCTAAAAAGTACGATTACAAAATTAAGGATGAATCTACGCAAATCCGTATTTCAAAACAAGACACACATTAAATTATTTGAAATCGTGCATATTGTGTTCTCTTTTTCTTCTTTCGTTTTCTTCTCTTAAAAAATCAATTATTTTGAATGATTGGTATTATGTTAGACAATATAAACGTACAATAGAAACGTTGGAGACATTATCATAATTTTTCAATTCAATGAAAAGAAGATTGTAATCTTAGTTCGCAGTTGAGGCAATCATGATTTCAATAAATACGCGTGTATTCTTCAGGGACGTATTCATACATCGATCCAAAGCACAAAGTACGAACGGTGGAATATACGGCAGATAAAAATGGTTTCCATCCTGCCTTGTTCAACTTCGAGGACACTCTCGCTCAACCTGTCGACTCGGAGGCCGTAAGATTGGCTAAGGAGAAACATTTGCATCTTTATCAAAGAATTGCGGCGGCAAACATTCATAATGTTCCAGTAAATCTGCCCCGGGTAATTATATAAAACAGTAGATTATTATAAAATTCAAATTTGCAAATTGTTTTTATAACATGTCTAATGCGAGCAAATCATACAACGTTCTAACGTTCTATCTCGAAAGACTTTCTTTCCTTACTTAATGTCCGTTTTATATAATCTATAATTTGCGACAGAATTCAAGATAGAAATCTGTTTATAATATTGTGTAATAGAAAACATTTTGAAGAATACACACACGCAAAATACATATCTTTGATATGTATTCTGTATACGTCTATTTTAATGTTGCACGTAATATTATAAAGAAAAATTTGCCTCGATTTTTGTCGCAAATTATAGATCGCACAAAATAGAATTAACGCATTGCTAATTGCTTTGTTCAAAATTGCAACAATACTATTTTGCAAAAATGTTTTTTAGTGTAGTTTTTTAGTGTAGTTAGTATCGATTTTCAAAACGATAAAGTATAAAAAAAGGATAAAGAAACAATTTATCTAACCATAAAATATGTTTCTATCTTGATAAAGAATGATACTTCGATTTGTTTAGCTAATTCACTCACACGTAATTTGCGTGACTTTTTTTCATTTTGTTTTTTGCTTAATTGCAATTCACAGGATTCAGTGAGCGTGGCGAGAGCGAAGGACAGGCATAATGAATTGTACCACAGGATCGCAGAACAACACGCGGCGATCGCTGCGCAAAGAGAAACAGAACGGCTAGCTTACGAGGCGACTTCCGTTGCCAACGACGTGGACGACCATCGGACGCGATAATGACAGTTTATACACGTGCCGGCAGCATGACTGGCATGCGCAGTATACAGAGTGTTTCATAATGTTCGTACAGACGCTGGTGTACAGGTGGAACGCGGTAAACTGAACAGAAAAATTCTTTACCGTTTTGCAATTTTCGCAATAATAAATGAGATATTAATTACCCAAACTTTTCTACAAACATTATGAAACACCCTTATATACCAAAAAGAAATTGCGTGTCGCCTGAGATTAATGCTTATAACAATTTTTCCCGTCACGATTCCTCTCTTACCAGCTTGATTGAAGCGATAAAAAAACTAATTACTATAAAGTTTTTGACTGCAAATAACACTTTCTTTATTAGCTCACAGCAAAACAGTACACACTCAGTGTCAATTATAATTTTATTAATTATGCAGATAATAAACTGTTTTTAATCACAAGAATAATATAAAGCAAATGTTGAATTGTCAAACGGCACAGTTATCTACCTATCTGTAGAAGCAGAAAGGAAAAATAATGCATATTATAAATAAAAATAAAGCTAATTAGAAATTCTAATAATGAAAATCTTAATATAATGACATGGAATCGAATAAAATAAATTTTTACGAATATTTGTTTTGTCCTTTGATTTGTGATAAATCAAGCAATAAATGTTTCATTTTTTTACTAATTATTTTCAATTTTTACGAGTATCATCTGTTTCCATACATATGTGTATTGCTGCGTAAACACTTCCACACAATAGTTCTTCGATAGTAATAAAGAAAACAAACTGCATGAATCGCATATTGTCAATTTTACAATAGATATAAAATTGTTGTGCAACTGTTATGTATCGTATCCTCCGTTATCTCGCAAAACCCAAAGAAATAATCAAGCAAAATTCTGCTGCGCATCTAATAATAATTATTACACATCGTATTTTTTCTATTTTTTTTTTGGCGTTTAATTTTTTTTTACGTATGACGTGATCACACGCGATCAACGGCGCAAATAACGTGAAAACTTGTCGTTTTTAACTACCGGAAACATCATCGCGCAACCAATTTTTGATGGAAGATAAACACAATTGTATCATGATAATATAAAAACAGCCACGGCACCTAGTCATAATATTAGTTCGAGTAAGTGTCCCGGTGAAAGATGAAGTTCTACCAACTACTCTACTTCTTTCTGATGTGCATTGCGGTAAGAATCATTACAATCGAAAAGTATAGAAAAAAGCAAAATTTATATTATTCAAAATTTGTGGTAAAATTGAAAGAAATTTCGTATATGTACAGTGCTGAATAAATCACTTAAGTATATTTCATTAGTTAAAAAAATTATATATATAATTATATTATAAATTTATAAATTTATTATTACAACATTATATTAATTTTATAATTTTATAATATTGAATAGAAAGATGAATAAGATTTGAAGGAATGTGAGTTTTACTTTTCTATTCCCAAATTTCTGTTATTCAATATTAATGCAAGATAAAAAAATTCATATATTGTACATACACATATACATACTCACACGTACACAATTCTTTTATTATTTATTCTTCTTCTTAGGCGACAATGTGCTTCAAAGTTCCTAGCATCCATATGGGGAAATCCAGAAGTCCATATGGAGTTTTTGGTATAGCATCTTGCAGAGGCAGAACTACACCAATGCCTAATTCCTAAATAAACAGAAACATTTGCATAAATTGGTAAAATAATATTAACTTAATAATATGTTCTATAATAACTTATGCGGTTTGGATAGTTCTGAGAATCATAAAATCGATTTGTTACTAATAATTTTGCATTCAAATTGACATTTAAAAATGGCATTTATGTGATACTTACATAGAGACTTTAATGCATATTTATATTTCGCTAATTTTATAAAATAAAAATCTGAATAGATAGAGCTTAGAGTAATCATGATACAAAGAATAAGCACTGTAATAATACGATAAAATAAAAAGCTTCTCAGAAAAATCTATCCTACCTTGTTTATATTTTTATTAGTTTAATTATATTTTAAATCAAATAATCTTATAATCTTTTTTTAAATAATTTAATACACATGAAGCCAATTTTACTTTACATACATAAGATGACTATTTTCAGCGTCAATTAATTAAACCGGTTCAAACTTGTCGACAAAATTGCCAACACGAATAAAATATCGTCAAAAAATCATAAACTTTTTCCTTCTTCGATAACGATATTTTATATTTCATGCTAGCAATTCTGTCGACAAGTTTGAATCGTTGATTAAAGTTAATCGACATTGGAAATAGTTATTCTTAGATCGATTCTCGATTTCCGCTTTCTCATTATCACTTGGGACAAAAAACTATCCTTACGATTTTAATGCATAAAACTCATCAAAAAAGAAAGTATTACAACCAGTGAACTTTATGCATACTGAAATACGCCGCAGTTCTCAGACCACAGAATCAACAGAGAGAACAATTAAATAAATCTTTTTGTCTAGGATTGAAAACCTAGATCTTTCTTGATAACAAATGTGTATAGATGTAACACATTTACATACATACATTTTTCGATTTTCTCAGACCTTTGTAAATCGGTATATTTATATCTGATTTTAAAGTATTAAAAATCATTATTAAGATATATAAAAATTAATTTAAAAATATATACAATTAATTAACAAATTAAGTATATCAATTTTTATATTAGCTTTAAGTCACATATAATAAAATAAAATAAAATTAATTATAGAAATGTAAATAATGTTTCAGATGGAAAACAGCAAAGTACAATAATAAATGGCAATGGACTGCAGTGTGGATGAATCTAGAAATCATAGTTGACTTAAAAAAAATCCAAAATTGCACCATATTCACTATAATTAAATGAAAATGTATTGTTTGTCTTCTGTTGCCCAAGTTGCATCGAGATTCAAACAAATATTAGATATACATATATATATATATATATATATGAATAAATTTATGCAAAATAAATAAGTCCATACTTTTCTGAAGATACAAAGTATAGAAATAGATTCCTTCAAGGTAATTCTAAAGTTATAAAAATGCATAGAAATTAAACTGACAATAAAAAGAAACAATGCATAATTAAAAGTTAAAAGTTATATCAGGCAAAAAAAGATTAAGGAGATCAAATTCCATCTTTGTAATCTTCCAGGAATTTCTGACTATGACAAAATGTTTTAATTAGCACCATATATTTCGACTTAATAAATAACAAAACTGGCATAAAATTGTTTTGAGTTTTATTAAATAATCCTGGCAGTCATAGTATGTGCATTTTTACTTATACACATATACATTTCTTTTGTTTATTAATATCATTATCTCTCATAATTAACTAGTCTTACATTGTATCTGCATAAAGAAAGGAAGAAAGCTTAAAATTACGAAGTGATAATTATATACACAATTATTGTCTATTCTATTATATATATTATTCTTTTTTTATTTAAATCAGTTAACTGTCTTTTATATACAATTCACATAATATCTCTACATTGCACAAACTAATAGTATAAAATTAAAGATTTAAATCAGCATAACTTGTGAAAAGAATTTGTAGAGATTCACATCAGAGACATGTAAAACATCTTGAAAAAACTATCTTTATTTGACGATGAGAAAAAAGAATCAATATGAATTATATCAATGTTGTGTTTTTTCAATTTAAAACTAATAAAAATAATATAAAAATAATGACTTTTTATTATTATAAATATACCCATATATATGCAGTTTTATTAATCTCTTTATTTTTTCGGTAAATCATGTTTGTTTTCTGTAATGATAGCAAATCTAGATCAAAACCTAATACTTAAAACATAATTATTATATATGGATGTGTGCTTATCACAGTTTTTGTTTTAAAAGGCTACAAAATCTTGAGAGACAATTAAAAATCCTTACATAACATATAAAGATATTGCATGTAGTTTTACAGTTGTATCAACAATCATTCATGTAGAATCGTTCTATCACTGTATCATTATAATTTTATTGCAAAGATTGCAATTGCCTTGTGAAAAATTCTATAAAATACACCATACAGTATAATTGCACGGTTGACATGCCCTACATTCAACAGTATAAATCAATGCTGAAAACTCGTTTCACGTTGTGTAACACACATCTATACTTGGCAAAAGTATAGTTAATATTATAGTATTACAAGAATGAGACATATATATATCTGTGTGTGATATGGACAATTATTTCTTTAATAGATGCAGCATGTCTTTATTTTGCTGCTGCAACACTATATCTGCTCTTTCGGTTTTATCAGTAATATTATCAATCAAATCGTTTTGCGAATCTATCTCCTCGGACAAACCAATTGCTAGATTCTTCAGTCTCGCCAATGATCCACTCATCTCATTTAGATTCTGCTCTAAAGCTCGGGTTACTTTATCATTAGTTGGTTTAGGATCTTCAAAATTGTTGTCGTCAAAACTACCTCTCATTCTTGTCAACGAATATGAATTGCTCACGTTACTTTGTACTTGTTCTAATGTATTAGAGAGTGCAGGAGATGTTACAGATCCAGAACTGGAAGACTCTGACAATTTCGTTGATGGTATCGGAGCATCCAGTGATTTACCACTCAGATAATTCTTCAAACTACCAAACACACTTTTTATACCTTGAATATGTTTTTGACTAAATCTCAATGTACTGTTGATATCATCTAATCTCTTTTCTGTCCTCTGCAGCTGTTCCCTTTGTCTGATTAATTCCTAAAAACAGAAGTTTAAAGAATAAGATCCAAAATGTGTTATTAACAGAGCAAACATGAAAATGTTAAAATTATTTGAGTGATAAAATATTTACTTTAGTATCATATTATAATAAATATGTAAAAACGCAGAATAAAATACATTAGAAGCAAAATGTAATTCCATAATTATAAATCATGTTTTCAATATAAATTTTAAATCAGCTGACATGCTATCTACATATTGGTAGTGATAGCAGAACTGGTATATCATTACGAACATACCTCAGCAGTAGCTACGCCAATTTGCTCTGAATCTCTCAGAAGCGAGACGGATCTTTCTGAAGACTGTACGGTGCGTTCTTCTATTTCCTTTTTACGATGTAATAATTCTTGACGTTTCTGCATGACATCATTATCGAAATTCTGATAATGTCCCGCGGGGTAATTTCTGGCTGGTGCATTACTCAGAAATGTCTCGTCGTCCACATCGTCTTCCAACGAAAAGAACGGATTCTTTGGATTGCTAAGATAATTATGGCCCGCCATTTAGCTGATAAGTTTTCGCGATGTACAAGATATCGATTGCGAATTATTAATTGAATCTAGTTTCGAAATTCCTCTTTGTTTGACACTTGCTTTTGCATGCTTTGTGAGAATATCACAATACGATAAAAGTCGTCTGGATGTGACGTGAACAGCTCGTGCGTCAAGGATAAAGATGTATGTACATAGACCAAGCACTCCATCCAAGGGTGAAGCCGAAAGTTAGAATTTATTATTTGAGAGAGATAGGTGATTTGTAGTTCATATCTCACTCAATCTTAAGCCTGCATCAGACTATGCAATTTGTTGCAGCAAGCGATCTAGTAAATTACTAGAAATGAATATTGTGTGCTGTATGATGCATGTCTTCTTCATTGTGATACAAATGTTAAAATACAATGTATATTTTCTTTTATTCACATGTTCATTATACTATTGTGAATTTATAATATACAATACAATATCATACTTTTTAATCAGTAATACCAATTAATAATCACTGCAATAAAAGTCTCTCAATCGAGAGCACCTGAAGCATTTTTGAACAGATCACTCAGATCGTGTTGAGTCTTCATTGAAGACTGGTCACATTCTAGCTATCTTACTTTATCGGTGTTTGTTGGTTTTCATCAAATATTTTTATACCAATAGTTTTATAAAATCAAATATACTGTCTTTTCAATTTTTTTGGATTTTCTGTGTAAGTATTTTATTAGTTTTTATTTTAAAACTTTTTTTAATTGATAATCTTGCAAGTTTTCGCTTTGATATGCACATTCGTAACTGAATGCCTTGGTTCATCACACACACACACACACACACACACAATGTAAACAATATATAATTCGATTATAATACATATTTAATACGAAGAATAAGCTGTAAGTTAATCCATAAACTGTTTATTAATTCTTAAATTTTTTATCATTGAGTTATAAATTTTCACTACTTTTTACATTTTGAAAAAAAAATTAAATTTTATAAATAAAACTTTGAATAATGTCTTGTTTGATAACTTCTTCTTTTGATAAACTTATTATGTAGTTTTTTATTATTTTTTACTAGTTACATAATTGGATTATTTATTAAAATGGTTTTGGGTTTTAACATTATACAATTCATTTGCATATTGTAATCTTTTTATCTTTATAATTTTGAGACTTAAAATTTATTTTATTAAAATATAAACTAATTGAAGTTCTTTCTCCCTAGATTGAGAATCTAAATCAAAAAGCTGTTTTTATATTGTGGAAAAGAATAAGTGATCAACATTTTTTTATACTAATGGATCAAAAAGAAAAACCATCAACATTTTCTGAATGGAGTGTAACAGAAATGAGTCCACAGGAAAGAATATCAAAAAATAGTTTAAAAAGGTATAAATATCTTTAAACATTTAAAATAAACATTCAAATTGGTAACTATTTTATAATTTGTTTCTTTTTATATCATTTATTATTTATGGCATAGTACTTACAATTCATAGTTTTAATCATATGATTATATCTCTTTAGACGTTCCGAGGAAGTAGATTCTCCAGAAAAGGCATTATACGGAATCTTTGCTGATCCTGATGAACTTTCGAGTGACGAAGAATGGATAAGTGATCTAAAGGATAATAGTTCCTCAGAAGATGAAAATAAGGTGGATATTTCACAAGATGGAATACAGGAGTTCACCATAAACCAAGAATCACCAATTTTGGAAGAATCCGTCACTAAACTGATCACCTGGATTGATGATCCATCTGTCCTGAAAAAATTTTCTTTTACAGACAGAAGAAAACCTATATCTGTTATCGATAAAAACAGTCCTGTAGAATACTTTAATCTGTTTTTTACGGAAGAATTTTATAAACTAATAATTGACCAAACAAATTTGAATGCCAATCGAGTGCTTCAGAAGACAACTGGAAGCAAGAATGTGCGCATACAGGCTTGGAAACCTTTAGATATAGAAGAATTTAAAGTTTTCTTAGGTCTGTTATTTCACATGGGAAATATTCAGTTACCTAGCATTGAACATTATTGGAAAACCAATTATTTGTACAATTTAACCGTTTTTCGTGATCATATGCCCAGAAATAGATTTCAACTACTGCTGCGGATGTTACATTTCGATGAAAATCCCATAGACAATGAACCACCGGCTAAATTTAATAAAATTTGTCCAGCAGTGGATTTATTTAACAACACAATGGAAGAGGTTTACTATCCTGAAAGAAATTTGTGTATTGACTCGTTAGTTCTCTGGCGTGATTGTTTAGTTTTCAAACAACACGTTTCATGTAAACAGTACAAAGACGGGGTAAAATTGTACTTGCTTCGCGAGCCCGATGGAATGATTTTGAAATTATCAGTTTGTGCGGTATCGAGAGATCATGAGATTAGTGATAAGTGGCAGGCCGCCCAAATAGTACATGAATTAATGGCTAAAAAACTGCATCAGGGACATGCGCTTTATATGGATAATTTTTACACTGATATTGAATTATCTTATCAACTGTTGAGCAATGGAATTCACGTCACTGGAATATTGAAAAGAAATGAGGGTGTGCCCATTGAAATTATTGAAAAAAAATTGAAGAATGGTGAACTCATGGCCACGTATTCAGAAGACGGCATATCAATTCAAAAATGGAAGGATAAAAGAGAAATTCTTCTGCTCTCCACAGAGCACAAAGGAGAAATTGTGGAGATACAGGGAACACGTGGAAAGAAAAAGATTCCCAAGTCATTGCTTGCGTATAAGCGAAACATGGGAGGAATCGACATGGTCGATCAAGCATTTTTGTATCATCCCTGTGGAGGGAAGACTTTGCGTTGGAATCAAAAATTGGGAATTTATATGTTTCAATTACTGTTGCTAAATAGCTTTTTCCTCTATAAAAAAAATGCAAATTGTGCAATCAGTTGGCTGCAGTATCGAGATACAATAATCGATTATTTGCTAAAACACAAAGGGATAATTCCATCAACACCTACGCTGAAAACGCCAACGCCCACTTCGTTCCATACTTTAAATAGTATCAAAATAGAAAATGAATTGTTACTCCATTCTCCTAAAATTGTCAAGAAGGAAAACGAATCCAGAGCAAAAAGAAGAAAATGTGTGAATTGTAAAAAAAACCAAAAAAGAAAAGATACCGTTTACTCTTGTACCGAATGCCCTAACAAACCAGCTCTTTGCTTGGATTGTTTTGCAATTTTTCATACATCGTAATCGGTGTATATTTAATTATAATTTATAGCTTATACAATAATAGGTAAAATTTTTAAATATTTTTAAAATACATTGTCTCTCATTAATATTTTTGTTAGATTACTATTCTATTACAATTATTATTATCATTATTACTATTTGTTATTATTACTCTGATAACACAAATTCAGATTTCACAACTCGTATGTAAAATTCCCGTATCAAATTTCATATGTAAAAAGAGTGTTAGTTTATAAACACTAAACTACTTGAGTGTACAATAATTTTACGCTTATATTTATTTTTTAAATATATTACATTTATATTAAAATTTCTTGTAAGAAAATGTATTGATGCTTATAATTGTAGTAATTATGTGATGACAAAATTTTATTTTGTTGACGGAAATGTTTATTGTAAATAATTGTATTATATAAATAGAGAAATAAAATATATGCAAGTGACATTTTTTTTTAAATTACATTTACGATTAGATTTTAAACAAATTTTAATTGTTTAATTGTGTAGTTAATTATAGATAAATATCTACAAAATAGATACAAATTATAAAATTACATAATTGCAAAACTCTCAGCAATAAATGGAAAAAAAAA